GGGACTGAGGGTCAAGACAACAAGCACATAAGCATGCAAAAAGGACAACGCAGGTCACTCTTGACTGAACTGTTCGACACTCCGCATCTCCTACTATGCCGCCTCGCCGAGTGTCTTAGCTTCTACTGTTGTGAAAGGAAAAGTTACTTGTGAAGAACCAATACACTCCTGTGCATCTATCATACTCAACCAGCCGTACATTACTCTACCAACCGAACTCCTTACTGGGGGCTCGTCAGCCAACAAAACCGAACCCAACCCCAAACACAACATGCCACATGACACTGAAACCTCCCGGGCCGCCGAACGGGCCGCCACCAAACTGGCCCAGATCCAAACAGCGTGTGCGGCATCCTTGGCAGCACCATCGGACCAACCCGGACCACCAACGGAGAACGCCTCCTCCGACTCATCATCTTCAGCGCTGGGCAGGCCGCCCAGTGCCATATCCTCGGCTTCAATGCCGCATCCATGGGACTTCATCTCCCTCAGCATGCTCCAATGCTTCACGGAAGCCTACGTTGCGGAACGCCCGCTCACGACAGAGAAACCCAGCTACGTCACCTTGCTTGAAAACCTGCAAATATCCCCGGTGACGTTACTTATGTTTCAGATTTCTAACACGGAGGACCACGCACCGGCCGCGCTACACCCAGGACCTTGCATACCCCCGCCGCCGTCCCGATGCGTACACAACCACCGAGCACCAGATCTCCCTAAGCAGTGTACGGACGAGGACTTTGAGGACTATGCCATACGCCTCCGGGAACTCCTGCTGATTGACAACGTCGACGACAATGACAAGGTCCGCTGCCTCATCCACAACACCACCCTCAACGTATCCAACACGGCCCGCCGCGTGTACTTCACGGGAGCACGCACCTTCGAGGAGATGGTGAAAGCGATCACGCGCTTCCACCCCACACCACAGTTCAAGCGGCTGCGACGATTCCGCAAGCTCCAACTGAACAACAACGAGACGTACCGATGCTTCGCCAAACGGCTTCAGGATGACTACCAGCTCTTCCTGCGCCTGGCCCCAGCAGAGGACGTCACCCCGGATCACCTCCACGTCATGCACCCAATGCTCATCGAGCAGCTCCTCCAGGTTGCCGACGGACGGATCGCCGACAAACTCCGAGCCAAGCTAAACACAAAGCCCAATATCCACTAGGACGACCTCATCAAATTGGCAAACAGCATCCGGAACCTGCTGGACAAACAATCAGACACAGGAGCGGCCGCCACACCGAGCACCAAAGCACGGCCCGACCGACAACCGAAACCGACTCCTGGGACCAAGCTATACTGTGACTGGCACAGATCCCAGGGCCACACGACGGAGACCTGCCGGGCCCGTTTCCGGGACCCCAAACACCCCGCGTACACCAAACAGGAATGCGAGGAGAAGGACAAACCGGACACCGGAACTGCCAGTGCCATCCTCCCATGCGAGACGTGCCAGAAGATGGGACAACATGCCAAGGACTGCACCCAACAGACGGGAAACGGCCAAAGGGAGTAGGCCTGGCGGCGCTCTGCTTCCTCAACACAGTCGCCACCGCATCAGATCCCATCCTCATCCAAGTATCCATCGGCAACCGCCACTGCAACGCGATGATCAACACCAGGGCATCGCACTCGTTTATTGAACATAGCTGGGCCACGGAACTGGACCTCAAGTTCATACCAACAGGTGTGGCAGTATCTACCGCCAACACCACCAACATCCGCATCACCGAGCGGGTACAGGTCAACCTCCTCATCCACAAACGGCCCTACCCAACCTCCCTGTGGGTCCTGCAGCGCGCGGCTCACCACATCATCGTGGGCCGCGATCTCATGAGCCAGCTCCCCCTCACCATTGGCCTTGAGGGAAACCGGCTCTACGTAGAATACCGCTACCACTCCAAATGACGCGCAGCACACACGCTGCAGCCCGGACATGGCATCCACTTCGTCGACGGCACGTACCAGGAACAACAAGGCATCCGTCGAATCCTACTGCAGCACCAGGACGCAGTCTTCCAGTGGTCCGGTCGTAGGGGATGCCTCCCCAAGTACACTGTCACATTGGATACCAAGACGGCAGCACCCCCTGCGTCACCCCTGTTCTGACAGGCACCCGACAAATTGGCGCCCTTCAAGGAGATCATTGCAGAGTACTTTGCCGAAGGCATCATCGAGCCTGCGACGTCACCCTACAACTCCCCAGCGTTCCTGACACCCAAGAAGAGCGGACTACCCGACGCCCCTGCCGGGCAACTCTGGCGCCTCGTCAAAGACTACAGGAAATTAAACACACTCCTGGTACCCGACAATTACCCAATGCCCATTATACAAGACCTGGTCAAAGCCCTGGGACGGCGGAACGCATTCTTCTGCACGGTGGACCTGCACAGCGCTTTCCACCACCTGCCCATCGTGCCACACCACCAACCGAAAACCGCCTTCTCTACCCCCCAAGGGCAGATGCGATATGCGGTACTACCATTTGGGCTACGCAACAGACCGGCACTCTTCCAACGCCCAATCAATGACATCCTACGCCCACACCTACTCACCAAGCGTTTAGCCTACATCGACAATATCATCGTCTTTGGCAAAACCTACGAGACGGTGTGCCAGAACCTCCAGGACATCCTCACCTCACTCGACAATGCCGGAGCTGCCATCGACATTGCCAAGTCGACCTTTCTGGCCACGCAGATTGAATTTCTGGGCCTCCTCATCAACCAGACGGGGGCCAGGCCGGCCCCCCACAACCTGGCAGCAGTGGAACAATATCCCCAACCAAAAACGACCAAGGAGATGCAGCGGCTCCTGGGACTTGCGACCTATCTACGTGCACACGTGCCCATCAACTTTGCCACGGCGGAAAAAATTCTACGCTCCACCATCCCGGCCAAACCAAACACGACCCTGCGGTGGTCAACGACAGCAATGCAAGCATTCCACGACCTCAAGACCGCCATTGCCAATGCCGCCCGACTGGAACGCTACGACGAGCATCAGCCCATTGAGGTCCACACCAACGCCTTGGCCACCAGCCTCGGAGCAGTCCTGGTACAGGTCCACCCCGACACTGGTCCGGCGGTTCTCCAATACGCCAGTCACGTCCTCACGGACACAGAAACCCGCTACACCAATACCGAACGCGAGCTACTGGCTATGGTATGGGCCGTCACAAAGAAGTTCCGGCACTACCTGGAACACTGGGCCTTCCGCATGATTGCCAACCATCAGCCACTGTTGGGCGAGCTAAAATCATCCAGGCTGATCCGAATGCAAATGAAACTGGGACAATATCAAGGGGAACTCGAAAATCGCCCCGGCACATCCCTACACGCGCCCAACGCCCTTAGCCGGGTCTCCATCAACGCGGCCAACCTACGGCTCACCGTACACCCAGGACAGTACCGCGAGGTGATCAACCGATACCACCTCAACCTGGGACACGCAAATTGGAAGAAAGTCTTACAGACAATACGAGCACGATTTACCTGGCCCCACATGCGGCACACCATCTGGAGACAACTTGTTGACTGCCCAGAATGCTTCACCTACAACAATAGCACAACAACAACTGGCGAACGCATGAGCGGCGTCCCCGTCACGCAGCCACGGGATCGGCTCTGCATAGATTTCTACGGCCCCCTCCCATGCTCCGCGGGTCTACACAAGTACGCGTTCATTGCCATCGACCAATTCTCAAAATTCCTGGTGGCAACCCCCATCCAACGAGCAGACACAGCCACGGCAATTGCCCAGGTTCACACCATCCTCACCGACATCAGGAAATTTCGGACAATCCACTCCGACCGGGCCGCAATTTTCAAATCCCACGCTTTTCGCCAATTCCTCACCCAAGCTGGCTGCAAACAACACATCGCGCACGCAAACCACCCAGAAGGCAACGGAACATGCGAGCGAGCCATCCGCACCATCGGGCAAATACAAGCAAAAATGGCGAAGGGCAACAGCAAAAATTGGCACGAGTACTTACCCACGTTGGTCCCAGCAAAAATGTTGGGAGTTGGAAGCTGGGGCGCTGGCAAAAGGTAGTTATACAAGTAGTCATTTTCTAGATTTCCACAACTCCCTGGAAAACCTCCAACTCCCTAAGCATAGGAGTTGTGATCAAGGTAAATGTCAAGTAGGTACCAATGTGTTGAATAAAAAGGACAAGGACGCGACCCTAAGCCAAACCGGGAAAAACATCCGACGACACACACAAGAGAACCTAACGGTCCCCAACCGGGAACAACATCCGCCGCAAAACCACAAGAGAACCTAATGGGACTGAGGGTCAAGACAACAAGCACATAAGCGCGCAAAAAGGACAACGCGGGTCACTCTTGACTGAACTGTTTGACACTCCGCATCTCCTACTACGCCGCCTCGCCAAGTGTCATAGCTTCTACTGTTGTGAAAGGAAAAGTTACTTGTGAAGAACCAATACACTCCTGTGCATCTATCATACCCAACCGGCCGTACATTACTCTAAGGACCTAACACCTTACTATGTTATTACCTCTTGACTGAGCATCATCTACTTTTATCCCTGACTGTGATTTGACTTGGTGTTAGTCCTGATATTGAATACTTGTGCCTGAAGGTCTGGTTGAAGTCATTGTCTCTAGGAAAAACCCTTGTTGTTTGGCGTTTGCTCATTCTATTACATTGTTGGGAGAGTTCTTGAGATTCAGTGTTTCTCTAAAGATTTTAGAAGCTGTGCGTGTACAAGACCAATCACCGGATTATACTGCGGCGGTTTGACTCGTGGAAATTTTTCTCAGACTAAAAGTTCGTGGCATGAGGATTAAAACAAAATTGAGGCGAATCCTGATGCTGCAATCGATCTTGAATGCTTTACATTTTTTGCGTCGATCTTAAATGCTTTACATTTTTTGCGTTTCTTGACTCTTTGCAGGTTCATTTAGATTTTTGTTGTGAAGCCTTCGTGGCATTTTTTTTCTTCGATTTGAAATGGTCAATCATTATATCTGAATTTCACTGACAGTCAAAATTTCCGCAGGTTCTGTGAACTTTTCGACGTTTATCGTGTCATGAAGTCCAATTAGTTGTTGGGGACACGCGTTTTGCGGAGTGTGCCACATATTTCGCCGCACCTCGTTTGGCGTACGAAGCCTGTTCTTTTTCACCCTTCTTTGAATCCTCATTTGTGGTAGCATCTTATACCAATACGACGACATGAAATCTTATCATGTACGCAGCGTTCGTACATTCCTGGAGAACGGCGAAACCGCCGTAAAATACAACAGCAACGTCAAGCTAACTTCCGACCGGAACGGGGTACTTGTAGTGCGTCCAGAGGTCGGGTCCGCTGAGGGACAAAATATCATCAACCTGAAATCTATCAACGATCTTGATGTGTCGAAATCTAGCGGTCGCGGTCTCATTATAAGTGGAGAAGTTTTGCACGGATGCTTCCTAGAGTTTGACTCTAGCGGGGACCGCGACTTGTGTTACTCTGATCTCATTGCCCTGAAGCGCTCCATATCCGGATCTTATTCGGTTTTTACGGAGAGAACGGATGAGGCATCTGCGACGCAGTACTTCCAGTTTTATGGATACCTTTCTCAGCAGCAAAACATGATGCAGGACTTTATACGCACAGCGACGTATCAGCGTGCTGTTTTGGATAACTTGGAAGATTTTCGAGACAAAGTAGTACTCGACGTGGGGGCTGGTTCGGGGATTTTATCATTTTTCGCGTGCCAAGCAGGCGCCAAGAAGGTCTATGCAGTTGAGGCTAGTTCAATGGCTGCGTACGCAGAAGTTCTTGTTCGCAATAACAGCCTGAACGATATAATGACTGTTTTACCAGGGAAAATTGAAGAAATCGAAATCCCTGAACAGGTGAGTTTTTCGTAATTTTTTTCAGAACGTTGTTATCGATCCAATTCAAGAATACTTCCTTCCTTGAGAAACTGTCTCCATTCCCTTTTAGTACTTGCGTGAACCGAGAAAAGAACTTCTAGTACGACTGTATTCTCCAACTGCTCTTAATTAAGACTACTGTATTTAGAATCCTGATTCGAGAATACTGTACCTTGATGCGTCACATTTCACTTGATCGTTTCTCATCACATGAATGTAAAGATCTATGAATATCGTTGTTTTAGGATCTCAGCTAGTAGTCTGGTTATCTACAGCCCCAACTGAGCTACTCACGATCCGTACGTAGCTCAATAATAATTTTGCGAAGAAATAGGTAGTTTTAGGACCAGCCTTTAGTTTGTGTATGCGTTAGATGGTATATTTGTATCCGTTCGTTCTTGGAATTCAAGGTTGATCTTATCATTTCGGAACCTATGGGATACATGCTGCTCAATGAAAGAATGCTGGAAACCTTTCTGCACGCCAAAAAGTGGTTGAAGCCCGGAGGAAAGATGTACCCGAGTCGGGGCGACCTCCACGTGGCCCCATTTACTGACGACACTCTTTATATGGAACAATTCAACAAGGCAAATTTTTGGTACACGTCCAGTTTTCACGGAGTCAACCTTACTTCGCTTCGAGAGGCAGCCGTAAAAGAGTATTTTTCGCAGCCGGTGGTCGACACGTTCGACCTCCGGATTTGTTTGGCGAATTCTTGCAAGCACACAATCGACTTCCAGACTGCCAACGAAGAAGATTTGCACGATATTGACATTCCACTCAGTTTCCCGTTGCTCAAGTCCGGTACCATTCATGGACTTGCCTTCTGGTTCGACGTTGCCTTTTTAGGGTCTCAGCAAGTAGTCTGGTTATCTACAGCCCCAACTGAGCCACTCACCCATTGGTACCAGGTATGCCACTGAAAGCAAGTTATTAATGTTATGAAAACTCATTCTTGAGTATTATCCCGAAATTATGCAGGGTACATTTGTTCTGGTTGTGAGATACTGTATGAGCTGGAGGGGTTGGTTTTATTAACTGACGCCAGTTCGATGGAATTTCAGGGGAAATGTGGTGCTTGATAGTCTAATGAATTTTTGAATTGGAAATTCTGATGCATCTTGGCAGAGTATGTGTGTAAAAAAGAATTCGAAGTTAAACTATTCCGATAATCTACCGTTTTTGTTGTTGAATATTTAGAACTAGTCTCTCTCTCCTCGTTAAAGCGTAAACATAACTATATCTCAGCGTGCATGTGATTGATATGCTCCCGTTTTTTTATTTTAAAGCATCTTGTCGCCAGAGCTTATTTGATGTGCTAAATTTTGTTTAAACTAGGAAATTATGTAGGAGATATGCTGTTACTCTTTCTTGAGTTTACGTGTGTTCTATCACTTCAATGTACGCAATGTGACTTCTTCAGGTCAGGTGTCTGCTGGAGAACCCGATTTTCGTTCGGGTGGGACAAGTGCTTACTGGTCGAGTGGGGCTGAAGGCCAATTCACGCCAGAGTTACGACGTCACAATTGACGTTGGCGTAGAAGGAACTTCGACGCGATCGTCCAACACACTGGACCTCAAGAATCCTTATTTCAGGTAATTTCAACTTCTTTCTGGATTTATTAAAACCTTTCTCACGATGGAGGAAAATATTTGGATCTCTCCAATTCAAAAACGTGAAGTACCGTATTTAATTGAGTAACTTGTGCAATCATTAAATTGTTGTTACAATTCGAGTCAAAATTTAACGTCTGATGTTTTGTTTTTCTTCAAAAAATTTAAATTTTCATTCACTGAAAAAGGGTTTGTGTTTTACTTGGGGATACATTTTATCCAAATTTCAGGATCAGAAAACCAGGTGTGTGTCTTACTTGAGTGTGCGTGGTACTTAAATGTACAGTATAGTAAGTCTATTGAATATAGTATATTAAATATTATATCACAGTATATCAAATAGAGTGATGTGGAAGTTCTTCTTGGCAGCTGTGAGGAACCATTGGCTCAGTTTGTTGAAAATTCAACATGTTTTGGGTGGAAGAATCGAGTACTCTACTGTGTTTAGAATTTTGGAATATTCTGTGGTTTTTGAAAAATGCAATGCCCATTCCACTGAAAGGAGCTCCGTGTATAACGCCCTGATGTGTAGATGTCAACTTAATTATGTCATATCAAGTCTAAGTTAAGTTGTGTCGCCCTATTTACATATTTTGGTCAGGCTTGAAATGCAGGCGATCCCTGCCTAAGATTCCAGGAAACGGGTTCGAATTTTGAATCGAATTGAACAGAATCAGGAATCCGGCTGATCAGAGCAGAGTCGTGAATAGTCCTTTGCTTGCTGGACGCTATCTGAGAAACTGATCGAAATGGTTGACCTATTTACCAAAGATCGAGTTGCGGGAGTTCGTGAATGCTTGATTACTTTGATGAGTTGGATCTTGTTTTATTTCTGCAAATATTTGGACTGACGCTTCCAATTCCCCGCACTCAGTGAATCCTGATCTATCCTCCTACATCGATCAGACAAGCATGCCAAGGCGATGTCACATCGGGATGAAAATCGCGGAGGCAGCGTTCGATGTGATCAACGCGAAGGTCGATCTAAAAATCAATCCTAGTACTGTAATGCGAATCATTGTTGATGCTTATTAAGATGGTTGGGTGCTGGTCTAGTGTGTCGTCTGCCACACTCGCGCACATTCTGTCAGTCGAGATATTTTCAGAAACCCGAGGCTCGCATATTTCCCCTTTCCTATTGTTCTGTTCTTTTTGAGAAGTGAATAAGAAACGGGAATTCCTGGAAAATCTTCCATTAGGAGGTGTCTTCGCTTAGGAATACTGTAATGTGTAGTCTCTGAAATTGGAGAAGAGTGACTTCGAGCATGCAAGTGAGCAGAAACCCCGACGAAACCTGCGTCGGAAATCTTGAATTCAATGTTTCATTGTAGATGACACAGTAGGCCAGCGCCGGTAATGGAACACTTGCGTTCAAATGTCATTCCAATAATATGTTTTTGTGTTTTGTGCAGGTATACGGGACAGGCGCCGCAGCCGCCACCGGGCGGAAACACGACGTCGCCTAGTGAGAAACTCTGGACCCAGGATATGACGTCGTCTGTGACGCACTCGGGAACGGGGGGCTCAGTGCCGTCACTGGGCTCGTTCGTCGACTACAACGGGCTTGGCAACGGCGGCGACGACATCGTGATGGACATGGGCGGCGCTCAGCGGCGGCCTTCGGGCTCCCAGTTTTCGAACCAGAGCCAAGTGATCTTGGGCGGGAACGCGCATTTCCCGGTCAATAATGCCCTCATGATCGGCGACTACGCCGCTGGAGGAATGTTGTTCCCGAACGCCGGCATGATCCCGAATGTCACTGCGCCGTCGCCGTCCGGGTTCCGCAAGTGAACCCTCGGCTCTGGGGTGGGAACTACAAGGTTCCCGCGTTGCCGCGTTTTCTTTTCTCTATTTTTTGGTCCCCTCTCGCTTGTCCGTCTTTTTTTGTGCATTTTTATCAAAAGATTCGGCTCCGTTTTTCATTTCTTGCGAGTTTTTGTCGTCTGTGGATCCTTCTGTGATCCGCCTCACTGCTCATCGCACATGGCTCATCCAAAGGGGAAGCGACTTTGTTCTGCATGGGTTTCCTTTGTAATGATTTTGAACTCTTTTTTTTATTCCCGGGATTCGCGCAAAACCCATTTTTTCGGGTCGAAAATTTTGAGCGATAGTCGTAGAGATTAAAGACATTCGATTATTAATGAATTTCCTGTCGTTAATTCGAAGTTCAAAGATTCCTCTTGTAATAAATCAAACAGTGATGGAAACGGAAAAGGAGAAAAATACTGTACTAGATCTGCGTTGAAACTGTTCTTACATGCTACTTTGAAAGACACAGGAAAACACGCTAATCTTTGAAACAAAATCAGAACGCTGTTGATGAAACAGAATTCATCACCAACTTTGATGCGAAAATTACACATTGTACTATCTTTCGTGTCTATGTTTCTGCGAGGAAAATCTGTAGCGGGTCTGTTTCTCAATGCTAGATATAGGCGATTTGTGCTGACAAACTTTCAATTGGTGGATCATGTGAATCGAATAGTTTTCGATTTTGTTGTAAACCTCCGTTGGGTAAACGAATCGAAGTAGGTAAAGTAACTCGAGTCTGAATTGTTGGGGTTTTTGCGGTTTTTTTTTTTTTTTTTAGAGAGGATTACCTTTTAAAAATTGAACTGGAAAGTTTTCGGAATCATGTTGAAATCAAATGAATTCGAGGTTAACTTCTCAGATGCTCTTTTGTCTTCGAGCAAATGTTTCATGATTCGAACGTGCCAAGTATATCATTGAATTTGTCTTCAATGAGTGGGCAGCTTTTTATCGCGCTTCTTTTTCAATGCGAATCCGAGTATGAAGAAGAGAAAAGCCCTGAGGATGTAAGTTGAGTGATCAGCGGTGAGGCGGAAAATAAGATCATTTTCAGATGTTTTATGGCGTCCTTCCAGACGTTTCCGTCGCGATGTGTGACGCAACTGTGCAGCGATTTGAAGCTTATATTGCCACGGGACAGACTTTGAGATTAAGAATGTTCCGTTCATTTTCCTTTTGATATTGCGTGGCGTGTGTGCATTCATTTCGAGCCATTTTTTCACCCATGTGCGTTGACTTCTTTTTTTTTTTTTTTAAAAAGAAATGCCGAATTCCGGAACGTAATCGAGGTTTTGATTGATGATTGCCCACTGATTTCTTTCCGAATTGATACTTTTTCTTCTCCTTTTTTTGCCGTATCGTAGGGCGGGTAAGTGTTGGGTGATGAAGCCCCGGAGGCGGAAAGTAGTGGGTTCGGAGTCGTTGGGGAAGGTGGAAGAAGTACCAGTGACCCTGGCGACTGTGGAAGCCGAGAAGGCGCGGAGTTTATTTGCAGAACTCAAAAGAGAGGAAGACGCCGTGTCCCTGAGGAACCAGGGTTCTGGGTTCTTCTGGTGGATACTTGTCGGATGTGAGAATACTCTTCAGATTCCGCCTACGCAATTTCAATCGAGGAGAAATCGCTCTATGAAAAAAAGTTATAAATTTTGCAATCATGGCCTCAATTCCGGAAATATCTCGATCCATTTCGTGCCTTGGTTCAAGAATGTCATTTGAGTTATTTTTCCTTTAAAACGGTAAAATATTCGAACCGGGGCCCCCCGAAAGGAAATATTCTAAAATTAATTTCTAGCTTTTTAGTAAAAAAACGAACAAACCAGGAATTCCCGGTTTCCCCTCGTTGAATTGAGAAGGTCGTTTCGGTCCTGAGTAGGCATTTTTGCTTGTCAGGTGTTGTGAGTGCTGTTCTGAATGCTGTTTATGTTGCCACGCTGTTTGAGAACTCGTTGCACTTCTCGCACTTGTCCACAATGGAGCGGGAGATGTCTTTGAAGACGGAAATGGTAAAGTTCTCTCGTCCGTTAAAGCTGTCACGTAGTTCGTATTTTTCTCGAGTAGAAGAGAGTATTGGTTCACAAGTTTTTTTTTTCTTTCCTGTGTTCTATTCTTGAACGTATGATTGGAAATGGACATCATTTTTTATTGGGCAATATTTATTAATTTCCTCGTATCTATTCAAAATGTTGCTAGGTGTTGGTGAAATTTAGTGAATGTCAGACAGTTGAAGGTACATCCCAGCACTGTGTGGAAAGAGTGCAATTGAAGCTTATTACAGCAAAGCCATTGGTACCAGGAAAATCGCGTACATTTAACAAAATAAATAAAACAAAACTTTTTTTTCTTCGGGGTCGACTGCAACAAGCGCCTGTAGTAATTAATTCTTGATGTTCTCTTCATTTGAACGGAATTACTGGATTTGCATGAAATTTCTTGATGTACAGAAATTCAAAAAACGTTGATACTCGACAGGGGTTTTATTACAAGTTTTACAAGAAACTGACGCGTGAGAAAGACGCGTTCTGGTCAGTGCTGGAGAGCTTCAGAAATGATACCGGAACTGAATTCCCGAATGTGATCAATGCATTTCAGCGTTTCAACCTTTTTCCCGAGGTAAGAGTCCGACATTTTTGAATTTACTCCGTATTGAAATGTAGTACTTTATATTTCTTCATAGCTTTCCGATGATAATAGTTTGCCGGGAATTATTAGTGCCTTGTCCTATTTTTCATTATTTAAAGCAGGTTTTTAAGGACCCATCATATGCATTTTTCTTGTTTTGTCCCTAACAACGACGAAATACTTTAGCTTGAGTAGATGTCACTCGAAGTCAAAGTTTCTATCTGTCCTGTATATTTCACTGGAAGCATTGGTAATTGGTTTTTTCCTATTCATTTTCCCGAAGCACTTCAGATTTTATGCACGTCACTCGCATAGAATCTTTGTTGAACTTTTTGTGATTATGTTTTATGGACATCATTTGATGCTTGTGCATTGACTTTTTGAGAATCTGTGGGACGTATTTGTTCCTGTCCATGACGAGGCCGAATTGTTTCAATTTTTGGAGATGTGATGCGAAGAATTCAAAATCTCGGTTCAATTACGAGCTGCATTATCCTATTTAATTAACGTGGTACAACGGGAAAGTATATCAGTAAATCCGTTTTGCGTTCAGGTTGCCTTGGGCTGCTTGTATTGGCAAGTCTCAGATTTCGCGACTGCGTGGAACGTATCGACCAAAAACTGCTACATTGTCGACATCAGTCATGATCACGACGATAACGAGGAAGCTGGAGAAGAAACAAGCTTGGTGACGTGCTCAGGAATCGGGGAGCCGATGCATTTTTACGTTTCTGTGGTTTGGTGCTTGGCGGGGCTCACTGCTGCTGGGATCTTCGCCCTGGGTTCCATTTTGAGGTTTTTCTGGAAATCGTTTTTTTTAATCCTTTAAATTTCGTATTGATTTTTTTTTCGTGTATTAGTTCGTCGTTGTGTGGTGGAGTCTTCGCCGTGTGGAGCTTCTTTTGCAATCATACTCATGTAAGTAAGTGTCTGGATACTCCGGAGTTTGAGTCATGGAATCTTGTTGATTACTGCTGTTGAAAAAATCCAATTCCAGTCACGGGTATGTTTTTATTTACGGTGTTGGTGTTATTGTCCCTTCCGATTTGATCGCGTTCAGTAAAAATAACATTTAAAAAAAAATCGTTACAAGTTTTTTTTCTTTATTCTGTAATATTTGTTGAGATTTCTGAGATACCCTTCCTTTCGAACGTTTCATATAAATTAACTGTCCTTCACTGCTTAACAGAGAAAATCTACAGGAGCTGTTTCAGTGATGTACAGAACGTCCCAAGAAAAGCATTTTTATTGTTCGGAGATTTCGGTCTCTCCAAATTTCTTCTTTGGAATCTCTTCAATGAATTCACAGACATATTTTTTCTACGTAGCAAACCTTATAATTGTTCATAAGTGTTCTTGAATTCATAAAGGAAATTAATTTAATGGTTTTGATCTGCAATGAACCGCTCAGCGAGTTTGCTTGAAGAATTGTTTACAAGGAAATTTTTTGAACGGATTTGCAGAGTACAAGGGTTGGATGGACACCAACTCTGAGGGAGAGCTTCGGGTACCCAATTTTTTTGGTGTACCTCCTTTTGTTGACGCTTTTAATGAAAGCGAGGCATCAAAGAATGCTTTTACAGCCACTCCTAGTAAGTTTATTGCATTGGAAATACTGTATGTGGATGTATTTAATTCGCGACGGTTTTTTTTATTGAATCTACAGTTGGTCAGTTTATCCATAACGGGAACCTTGTTTCTGCTGGTGTGGCAGTTTTCCCAGTTCGCAATGGCAGTCTGCATTTGGATACTCTTCCTGCTTCACAGTTTTGGTACTTTGAGGCCAAGAGACATTTATCCATTCCTGATCTCCCAAGCGGTTGAGTGATTATTTGATTTCGATCGTTTTCTTTTGTCAGTTTTTGGTTTTTCGTGGTAGATTTAGCCCACTGCGAAATTTTCAAATTATGTACTTCATACCAATATTTTACAACTTTCAATGTCAATATTGTTGAGAAAATTAAAAAATAATGTTTTAAAAAATCTAACGCACGGAATAGTTGCTTGATGAACTAAATTGATTTTTTACTTCGTATGTTTCTCTTCTTATCATTTAAGAAATTATTTAGGCGCCGACATTTGCAATTGCCGTGTGTTCACGGATGAATGAATCAGAAGTTCCTTCTACTTTTCGATTATTGTAAAATTTCAGGATTATTCGCGAAGGATTTTGCTGCTACATTAATCAGTTTGAAAGCTTATTTGCAGTACGCCTATTATGAAAGAATGAGTCCTCTTAGGGCATCGACATTCACCTAATTTCGATTTTTTTTGTTCATATTTTTAGTGTTGAAAAGTTCTCACATGTTGTTCAATAACAAGGGGATAAATCGATATTTTTAGGTTTCAGTGGGTCTGACGTACTTGACCATGCATGGCAACGTGATGATACTGAGTGGGGTGCTGACTGCCTCGCTCCTGGCAATGGTTTCCCTGGGTGCTACCCTTGGCCCAACATTGCGCAAGTACTTGCCACCCATGTCTGCTGCGGTGGCGCAAATGGGTTTCGCTTTGATAAATACAGTCGGGTTCAAAATTGAGCTGGGAAACTATCTGGGGACCAGTGGAAGAGGCGATGACGTGAGTACGATAGTTCGTCTTATGTTGGGGTGGTATGTGGAATTCGAGTGTTTTTTCCTTTTTTCGTTTTCAGTCACATGTGTTCAACTTGCTGAGAGCAAAAATTGCAAACTATAAGGATTTTGACACACTGCTGTATCTTGGGCAACCGGAGTTTAAACAGTTGCCTGGTGCTACTTGGAATGATCTCTGTTCCAGCTTGTTGATTCCGGTTGCGCTTGGAGTCGCAATGCATTTGGTTGTATTCAGGTGAGCATTTTTTTATTTTAAAAGAAACACACGAAAAATGGCGTTTCAGTCCGAATAATGCATGATATGAAACCGAAGTTTAATTTCCGTGCGCGAAGAAAGAAAAAATTCCCCAAAATGTTTTCGAAAGTTTGTATTAAGCAGATTGTTTTTTGTTTCTTCTGTGACGTACTATCAACGGATTCCGCAGCTTTGTTGATTGTTTACTTTGTCCACGGATGCTAATTTTTGGCACAGCTTCTTCTTCGAACTTTGAAATTGCTACTTATCTTCAGTATCAATCGAAATTCCTTGATTAATTGAAAACCGCCATTCGAAAAGGTTTTGGTTGATTTTTCAGAGATAATTTATTGTACTGTACTTGCATCTTACATGGAATTTAAAAAAAAATAAATAAAACATAAAATTAATTTTGTGCAAAACGTGAAATTCGTGATGCATGGGTGACCGATTTTTTCTTCATTGTAGGGAAATCGAGTACATGTACTGTAATGTATTTGTTATGTTGGAAAAATTTAAGAGATAATCAATGATTCAGCTTGGAAATGATGTGATAATTTTATGTGAAATTCAGTATAGAGAATTAACAAATTCAAGTGTGTTTGAAATCAGACGCCCTTTTGTAATACTGTAATATCATTTCAAACAAGATAATGTTGAATTGAAAGATCTCCATGAAGTGAAATATCGCCTAGTTGTCATGATAATAACTTATCAGGATTATCTTTTGTTCTTACACATTCCAACAGATGGGGAAAAGTGAAGTATGCTCAACTTAGAGCTCGATTCGAAAACGCTCAAAACGACTTGAAAAAGCAAGAAAACGATCCAGAGGCTTCAAAGATTCCACAGGATTTGTTCGGAGACATGGAAATTGTGGAACCAATCAAAGCATTTCATATTTGCCTAGCCTTAATGTTCGGAGTAATGGCTGGAGCCATAATGAGACTCAAGTTGTTTTTCACTCCCCAACTTTGCCTAGTAGCCTCACTGATCACTGGGACGAGAGTGAGTTCAATTTCCGTATTTTTTTTTTTGGACTTACAGTTTTTATATACAGTATCTTTCATTTCTTTGTCAGTTTTTACCTGAACGGATCAGAAGTAAAAGGAAAGGCTTGTTGGTAGCGCTTTTGTTTGCAATGACATTCAAGGGATGGGATGGCATTCAGCAAGCATTGAAAATGACTGGTGAGAAATTTGGCGGATTTCATGTTGTTTATGATCTTTGGCCATTTCGAGTATCATTAAGTTGTATCCATGCTTTTGGGGGCTAATTAATATTTCATCACTGTTGTACTGTACAAGTTTTAAAATTGTATTTGCTAAATTTCTGAAGGAGAAGGTTGGCACACCAGAGGTGAGAAGGACATGCTTCAGTGGATCATGAAAGACACTCCTAAGAACGCATCGTTTGCTGGTGACATGGTCACTATGGCTGGGATTTCTTTAGTTGCGGAACGTTTGACCGCAAATCATCCGCATTTCGAAGACTTCGCTTTGAGAAGACGCACTGAGGCTATTTATCAGGTAAAAGAAAGAAAAATACTTTTATTCTCCAATGAGGGTTGCTTCAAAATTTATGTTTCATTAGTATAGCAGCACTGCAACTGATTGATTGAAATCTAATCATAAATTTTAATTTTTTTTGCGTCGTTTGAAAGAACGTCGCTTGGAACATGTGTTGAGGCACAAAGTCAAAGCAACAAAAGTTGGAGGCATAATTTTCTGTTCTTGAATAAGTAAGCTGTTTGGAAAGTTTTGTATTTCCCATTTTATGCTAAATGACCTTCATTCAGTTTTACCAAGATAATGACGACGAAAGAAAGTCTTGTACTCTTCGCCATTCTTTGATAATTATTTTTATTTGATTTTTATTGTAGACAAAATTGCTGTACCGTACATATGAAAATTGTATAAATGATTGAATCGTTTTTGAAAATGCCTTTTTTTTGCAATGTAATGATGATTTTTGGTTGATTTGGAGGACTTTTGAACAGCCCCCCGTGTCACTGAATTCCGCATTATTTATTTTGTCCATCTCGGACTTATTTTCAGGCATTCAGCAGACGATCGGAGAAATTGTTGCACGCAGCATTGAGAAATATTTCCGCTGATTTCCTCGTTCTTGATGCTGTGCAATGCCTGGAATCGCGTTCTGTGAAGTAAGTCTGATACACGTTTCAAAACGTTTACTGCTTAAATAAAAAAAAAAAATAGAAAATTTTATACGCGGTCATCTGCATATGTCTGTTGATTCAAGTATGTTTTGACACATTAAATATCTTTTATTCGTGTCCAGGGGAACATTGTTGTCTTTGTGGGACCAGTTGGAGCCGGAGTTGGTTGGAAAGCGACAACCGCTGTGTCCCGCGTTGTACGACGGAAAAATTGGCCCAGGATTCAGTCGGGTTTTTTTGAATGACGAGTACTCGATCTTGAAAGTGAATAATTTGTAGGAAATTTACTTCCACGTACGAGCCGTAATGCAGCCAAAGTATTGTTACGTGTTCTATATCTTGGTTTATAATAAAGCCGAATGAACTGTTCCTGTGGCGTAAAACGAATGATTTCGATAATCCGTTATCTTAGCCTTGTGAGTTGAAGGCATTGTTATCTTCAACAGGAGTTCAGGTAAGTTCGTCATATATGACCAGCAGGCAGTCGGTCAACCAGGCGCCTCTTCAATTTTTTTGATGAATAAGGCACAAGAAAATTTCTTGACGCACAAAATGGTTATCCATACTTCAGAAAATGAGCTCTCGAAATTGTATCGCCGAACAGCATATCAGAAAAATTGCACCACAAATTTTTAATCTAACAAATGAGGGATAACAAGCATTGTATTATAGTTATTTGGGTTCTGGGAGCGTGATCAGAGTCTTTCCTTTTTTAAATTGCATGCTGCCCAATCTTCAGTCAGTAGATGCTTTGATACCCTAACAGAAACCAAGATATCAGTGTAGTTTGAACAGCGGCATCTATATATACAGTAGGACCCCCACATGCTTACACATTGACCTGCAGACAATTCAACATAAGGACACTTATTTTCTCATTAAAAATGAATATAAAAAGGCCTGACATGCAGACACTGACTCAATGTATGGACATTGCTGTGATAAACTTACATTAAGTTGCAGGCCAAATTACAAAAAAACAGATATTCACAACCCTAAAATTGATGTAAGAAAAGTTCTTTGGCATTCCTCTCATCCATCTGGCTAATTTAAAAAAATGTACCTCCAGCATAGAGGGACTTCTTTCTTTTCCACTTGAAAGCTATTTGTACAGATGCAAGCATTTCTATGTACTGTACAGAGGTATCAATATTTAATGCTTCAAATGGGTGTACTGTATATAGTTTTGAAAGATATTGATTGTATCAGTTTCAATTGGGAGAAATTTTTTCATGAAATTATGATGAGTATTTTGTCCATAAGGCAAAAGTTATATAATGTAAGTCTAAGACTTGACACTTAGGGACACTCTTGATGCAACAATAAGTATTCCTGCATCCTGGGGTCAAACTGTAATTTATGACATTAACAAATTATCATCGCTCATTCAATGCAGCAATTCTTCATGATTGACGTAATATTGATAAAATACAGACGGTATTTATTGCTTGCAAAACAAGTCTTGCTGTTCTAAAAACTGGAAGCAGTATGTACAGCTTATTAGTTATTATTGAGAGTGTTTTTAATTCCTATTTGATGCCAAGGTTGCGGTTGTTGTACAATTATACATGCGCACAATGCAACCTTGAGTCCCGGATCCAGGGAACAAATGACGCAGAAGTCTCCACATGACTTCTAAAACGAAAAAAATCCAGACTTCTGGTAGTGCATGGGATTGTGTGCGTCACGAGTACTTCGACGTAGTATCTACTGCAACAAGTACTCCAAGAATAAGGGCATGATGCACGCAAGCAATTAGGAGATCCTGGTAAAATACAAGGCCTCTTGAAAAACTTTCATACCGCTCAAGCTTAACGTCATGCTGGCATTGAGCTGTTCACATTGGCAGTTATCATTCCTTAGACACATCATTGTTGAATTTTCCTCAGCACATGAAGTTGAGCTGTGAGGTTGACATATATCTGGTGTTGTGGGTGGCAGACATCATTTCGTCAGATTCGTCTTACGCTCAATAGAGCTCTTTCTGTAAAAATGCACAGAGCATTAGCATATTCTCTGTGGATTTTTGGGTTGCTGATGCACCCGGTCATCATCCGTGGGACATTGGACGCGAGGCAAGACGACATTCCGGTCATCATCGGTGGTACGATCTTACCTGACAGAAGACAGTCTCCCTGGATGGTATACTTGGCAAGCGACTACGGGTTCATCGATATGCCCTGCGGGGGTTCCCTAGTTTCCAAATCAGTCATCCTCACGGCTGCTCAGTGCGTTACCTTCTCGTGAGTAAAAATAAGAATGGATACCATCTTAAGTAAATTCAACGCATATTTTGTCAAGATGAAGGGGGGGGGGGGTTCAATACCGTAACATGAAAATACCTCCTGAATTAAACAGAATTAGTGGGTATGATTTTTTCTAACCACGCATTATTTGTTAATTTTTTGTAAAATTAATATAGAATTTTTGAAACATTTTTTCCCCAATTTATTAAGTTTTTCGGAACAAAGTTCCCACGGAAGTCGATGTGAAATTGAGATTCGTAGTACAGTTGAACGCCGTTAAACCACCCCCCGATTGACCGCCACCCTCGCTTCCCGCCATTTTTTCCTCCCAAACAAATCTTCTCAAGCTTGAAGGGATGGGGAAACCCCGTTTATCCACCATCCGCCAACTGCCAATGTTTTTTGCAGAACAAACAGGATCTTGGCATTGTTTTTTACCCCATTAAACCGCCAAATTTTGGCTCCTCTCTTCAAAGCTTTATATTTCTGGTAATATTTTTTTAAATTATTTGTTTTCTCAATTTAATGATGAAAATAATGAGAGATTTATGTCCCCACAAAAAAAAGAATGAAGAGTCATCATCACCAAAAGCAGGATGGGGAGGGTTAGAGCTTGAAACATTTTTTCAAGAGATCAAATACACTTATTCAATAAATACTGTGGCAACCCCTCCCTTGTTAAACTGCCAACCCCGTTAAACCACCAAAATTCTGCTGCACAAACGTTGGCGGTTTAACGGGGTTTAACTGTACAAACAAAGTGTACAATGAATGCAGCAGCTCCGGCACAAATTATGTACTGTATCTTGGACAGCTCAGTACATGGTATCAAGTGAATGTATGTTATATACCCATGCTATCTTATCATCAGGTTGTGCAAAAATTATTTTGTTAACAATTTAACTTGAGTCTCGGTAATTTTGCTGTATTCAGATATTACTTCAGTGGAATTATATTTTTAAATAACATTCTTTACAATTTGTATGCTGCCCAGTTTCAGCGACCCTGGAGTGTTTCTGAAAGCCCAGAGAGTATTGTACGTATTGGGAGGACTGACCAGCAAACCCGATGACGAAACTGAGGAAGTTTACGGTTGGCAAGATGACCCAACAAATGCAATTGTGGTTCATCCCTGGTATTTGGGCCTCAAATCCTTGCACGATGTGGCGTTGGTCAAGATGTCGTCTGCTGTTACACTCACGCCTTACATTGGATTAGTTCAACTCACGTCTCCGGGTTGCAATCCAGAGGGACTAGATGTGGGAGTTATCGGCTGGGGTAAAACCGAGACTGATGGTAATCCATTGCGAAATTTTACATTATTATTACAAAATAAATTTTCATTACGAACTATTTCGTTTCTAGATACAGCAGTACCGGAATTTTTCTCCATTGGAAAATTTTATTGGTAGAGATGTTTCTATCCGATCTATCGTATTAAACGTAAACTTATTTCATTTATAGGCGGAACTATTTATAGGGGAGGGGGGGGTGCCCAAAAAAAAGCCTGACATGCAGATTGACACTGACTCAACATATTCTGGAAATTGTGTGATAACATTTCAAATAAGTTTCAGGCCAAATTACAATAAGAAACAGATAATTCCAACGTTAAAATTGATGTCAGAAAAGTTCTTTAGCATTTCTCTCATCAATTTATACCATCCATTTGGCTAATTCAAAAATTCATTGAATCAGTTTCAATTTGGAGACCATTTTCCATGGAATTATGATGAACTATTTGTCCATAAAACACCAAGTAAAAATTCTGTAATGTAAGTCTATGGGAAGATGAGACATATTAACGTAGGGAAATTTCAACTTGGGGACACGTCTCTTGATGAACCAGTTATATCCGCATTTCGGGGTCTCACTACATATAAAGAAGATGTAAAAAAATTGGATTTACTAAAGATTTCTGGAAAAAACAAATATTTTCAGAATAAGATATTACTGCAATTTTTAATTTTATCAATCTGAATTCTGAGTTTTTCAACTGAATGACGCATTTTTTTTGCAGTGGAAGCATACAGCAGCAGCAAAATAACTTTTAAAGAAAAAAATCATGTGAGGTCATTCCGCCATTTTCATTAACAACCGTCACATTTTCTCATACTGTATATCCATGAGTGATGACTGATATTTTTCTGAAACAATAATTGTTTTACAACCCAAGTGTATACATTATGCTGTTTCAATTTTTATCTCAGGAACTTTTGTTAAGCTCCTCATATATTCAGAAAATTTTGATTGACAGAAAGTATATTTCCAATATAGTGCCTCTGACCTAGTTTTTGCTTGCCTCATTGAGTCAAGCATATACTGGTAATATAATGTACAATGATGATTTGTGCAATGTATTTGGAAAACTTTTGAGAAAGCACTCACACTACCTTTTGTCTTGTCCTCTTTGAATAATTGCTCACTCAGAACCACATACTTTCGATTTTTATATTGTCTGTATACTGTCAAGGTCCCAGTGCCAAACTGCTGTATACCAACACAAAGGTGCGAATGAGAGCAGTCTGCAATTCATATTATAACTGTGAGGATGGTGCTGCCCCCTACTTCAATGGTGACTGGCAAGTCTGCTTAGCTGGAAACACCATGGGCGCAGTCTGTACTGTAAGTCTGTTGTTTCCTTGTGGTAGTCAGTAGTGGACTGAAGAGTATACACATCAAATGTCTCTCTTTCAAAATTTCATAAGCATCAGTATTGCATATGCAAAGCTGCCCAAGTGGGGAGATATTCTTTGTGTGACCCCACAACTGGTGCACACTGGGGTCCCAACTGGTGTACATGGGCTATTCTGGGGTCACAAGCACGTAGCTTTGTCAATTAAATTTTGCTACCATTTCAGGGCTACATTTGGTGCACAAATGTGGCATAACAGGAGTATCACAAAAATGCACCAACTGTAACCTTGGTGTAACTTATATATTACAAATTTGACCCTGAGTAACCCTGGTGTGAACACACAATTGGTGCACATTTACATGTGCAACAGAAAAACTTTGGTACACTTCAGGTGCACAGCATGGTCAGTGTGTAGAAATACAAACACATCCTGGCCCAGTGTGCACCAATTTCCCCACTTATGGGTGGTCTTGAATATCCTTTGGACAGCAACAGCGCGCTAGCCTCCATTCATTGCACAGCAAAGTCATGATTTTGTTGTTGCATGTTTTACTCAATGTCAAAAAAGTCACCTGAATTGAGAAGGCCTAAGTTGGTTTAAAAAATCCAGGAGGAGTGAATCTTTTTGTTTTCAGAAATCTTCAATGCTAATCCTATGCTTGGAATGCGCAGTAAAAATGCTACCAAGCAAGGCATTATTTGTTTCAGAAAGTTTTTTCTGCCAGTGGAGAAAAAGGTATCAGACTTTTTTCCCAACTCAGGCTTCAGCAGCTTGTTGAAAGAAAAATTGGGACCCATGTATGCTGCACACAGGGGTCTTCTCAAGTATACAATATGGAGCATCTGCTGGTGCAGTTGTCCCTTCTAGGTGTTGTCATATCTGTTTATTTTGTTGCTTGATACCCAGCAAATAATGGGGGCGTTGGGCTGTGAACCATTGAGAGAAACAGATTGCCAATGCGTTCTGCAACCCATTCTCTCAATGGTTGGGATTTTGAGCTAACGCCCCCTAGGTGCGTTTTGAGGAAAGAGTTCCAGGAAGCATTGGGAGTCCATTGGGAGTCCATTGTGAACACTGTTTGGGATGAAGGCCATTCTGAAATGCGTTGTAGGTGCATTTTGGAATGGTACACCTAACGTTGTGAGCAATAATATCTGCACCCCCATTGAGAGCACCCATTCACACAGATGTGAAGGTGACTGACTCTCACTCAGATGGCCCCAGTTCAAAACCCAGGAGCATCATCAGGACAGCAGATTCAAAGCAAAGGAACAGCAGCAGGAAAGAATATTGTGAACAGAAAGCACACAGAGATGAAGTAAAGAAGAAAGAGGAAAGAGTATAACACAAAGAAGGCAAAATAAAGAAGTAAACCTCAGCAGTTGAATGGGAATTTTTTCTTTTTTCTACTGCTTTTCAGACATGGGGGGATGCTTTTATTGGGGAAGTTCCCCCAAACTTTGCTGGCTTGCGTTGGGAACCAATTCTGACATGCATTGGCCAACGTTTTGGGGAACCTCCCCAATGTTTGCCAGAATGGGTTCCCAACGCAAGCCAGCATGCCTTGGCCAATGTTTGGGGGAATGCCTGCTCTCAGACGTTGGGCAGTGACCAAATGGCTGTTAGCCAAATGTTTGCATCTCAATGACTTTCCAATGGGGCTGCAATGCAGGTTGAAACAGCCAAATTATTTGCTGGGTATAGACACTGATGGATCCCCACAAAACAGAAATAATCCTTTCCAGGCTATGAGTTTTGTTTTGTAAAGTCCTCATTATTAGGGAGAACATGATTCTCTTTAGATACCTCACGTACCTGTGATCAAGGATTGCAAAAAAATAAATAAAAACACAGGCAATCAGCCTTTTGAGGCAAGAACACATATTCAAGGGGTTGCCTTGAATATATGTTCCTAGTTTCAATACATTTTATTGAATGTTTTCAGCAGCAGAGTCAAATAAAATTATGAATTCACAAGAATAAACACAAGCAATTCATGCAACATAATTGAATCACAATACCAGATCACAGCATAAATAAGAATCACAGATTTGTGCACAATTCAGGAAAAGTGAAGGAGAAGATAGTCCTTCAAGAGTTCAGGACAGACTGCTTATAACTTTTGAATTGATTAGAGCTTTTATTGGTTTTTTGGAATTGTCTGGTCAGGTGATCTGACCAGAAAATTCCAGAACATTCTTGCATGTTCCCTGTCCTTTGATTGGCCAAAAATAGAAAATCAAATGAATTGATGTGCTGCATCATCAGCTGATGCAGCTCTCTCATTTTCTCCACAACAGTGCCATTGTAANAAACGCATTTTTTAATGCGTAACTGTTATGCGCAGCAATACCTGTAACAAATTATTTGCTGGGGTAGTACTCAAATTGTGAAGCAATGTCAAATGCGATGTTTTCTCTGTCATATTTAAGATTTTTGCCGATGTCTATGGTTCAAATTGTGGGACCTAGGTCAAATTTCAAGTAAACCTCCCAGCAAGTTTGACCACTGAGTTTCAGGACAGTTGAATTGTGGGGAGTCAAATTGCACGGTATCACCTGTACAACTTTTGATGCAACAGTACAACCTTTTTAACTCCCAAAAACCTCACAAATGAAAGATTCTCATGTCCACTACAGGTTTTTCTGTAAAGTATTGTAGTGAGAATTTTCCCCTCTGAATCCCGCCCTTAGAAACATACATTAAAAACCTTGTTAAGTCAAAGGCTTTCCTCTCAAATCTCTGTCAGACAAATTTTCTGTGAACTGTTGGCTATTATTTTCTTGAAACAAGAAATGAATTTTTTCAATTAATGCATTCAAGGAAGGAAGTTCAAGACTTAATAGGGCAAATTAACCCCTGCCTACAAGTTCAGCATCCTTTCAACTCATTTGAGAAGCAATTTGAGCCCCAGAATACCACCATTTTCAATTTTTGGAAATTTTTCTGTTTCCCACAACAAAAGAGCTTTGTATTTTGTAGCTCAAACCTCTATGATTCCAAACCTCCCTAAGACAATTTTTATGGTCCCTTGTAAATTGACTTAGAGAGGTTCAACTGTAACACAAGTTTGGGAGGTTGAGATATGAGTCAGCCTCTTTTTCATAGCCAAAAATATACCATGCAAATAGGTGCCTTGATAATCAGCTGCTCTTCTATTAATTACTCTTGTATGTTGAATAAATTGTTTTCGAATTTTTGATGAATATTCCTTTGTTAATCCCAGGCAAAATATTTATTCTTTAGGGTGACAATGGTGGGCCAGTGGTAAAATTTGTGACAGACCCAGACAATCCTCCTGCCACCATTGCAGTGCAAATTGCGATCAATTCTTTTGGGAAAACTCGCAATGATCGCACAGGGCCTTGCCCAACTTCAACTTCAACCCAAACTCCAACTTCAACTTCAACCCAAACTCCAACAACTTCAACTTCAACCCAAGTTCCAACAACTTCAACTTCAGCCCAAGTTCCAACAACTTCTACCGACTCCAGTGCGAGAACAACAGCGAGATCTGGGACTCAAAATAATAAAGCAGACAAAGGGGCAGCGCTTCTTCAACTCTTCAGAACCCTGTTTGGCAGCAGCAGGAATAGCAGAAGCCGTTCTGCCCGTGCTGTTCCATTTTGCCAAATTGACGCGCCATCTGTTGGCACGAAAATTGCACCTTACAGGGATTGGATCGATGCTGTGGCTTCCCAACTCGTCAACGGGTGATTTCATGCATTGATTTCACTGACTGCACTTTATTGATGATGAGTGAACACAGCATATACACATCATCAGCAGATATATTTTCAGCACATATTATATGAACATATACGCAAGTATACGAGAGCAATTGGGATTCCATTTTCGAAAATCAGCCCGGAATACTTCTGGTTGGAACAACTCGAATAACCAGGGATTTATTCTGGCTTCTTTTTTTTTGTGGTTGAAGAAAAACGAACAGCTCTCGACTTTCGTATTGTTTTTTCTTTCATTCACTTTTTTTCGTCTTTTTTGTCAACAAATTTCGTTTTGTCTATTTTATTGTTGATATACGTGAGGTTCATTCAAGTGATTAATATTTATTTAAAGTCGATATAGTGAAATGTCGTATTTTTAGTCAAAAAATATAACAATCTATGATAGCAAATCGTTTCTTCAAAGGAAGATATGTTTAGAACACATCCAATGGAATGTTATGATTTGTAGAACTTATGGTAGGGAAAGTTAATCTTTTGTAGATGAAAAGTCAGCAAATGAAAAACTGTGCTGCTCATCAATGTTCACATGCTGAAATTGGTAAAATTTATTCATCGAGTATTTATATGCATGAATATTAATCCTAAACTTTACTGACAGCTTTTTTTTTAATTCCATAAAAGTAGACTGTTCATTATGTCAAAGCAAACAATGCAGCATGTCACAAAGGTTTGAAGTCCATGCAGTAATCTGGTGTTTGTGTTAAAAATTCAACCACTTGAGAAACACAAAACTGTTTTTTTTTTGTGGGTGAGTGTCAATATGGGAAACAATGCTGTAGCCCACATATGAGACTCAGTGGAAGAGACTTGACATTAAAAGAAATGCAATGGTAATTTTGGAACTCAATTCTGTGGAATATATTCGATGCAAATTTGTCCACTGCATTTGCTAATTTATCTAGATTTTTTTAAGTACATTTATATATGAATGCGTCTCTTTTTTCAAGATGCTGATGACTTCTGCATATATTCAGTGATGAGAGCATCAGGTAACTTATTCTTCCAAGATTTTTGAACTCATCTCCAAATTGATCAACAACTCATCGCAAGATCCTGCCCTATATATACAGTTGAAACCCAGATTCATGTGACAAATTTGCAAATGTATCATTTCTCAAAACACGCATAACACACATCAAGAGCTTTTGCATTTTTTCAAAGTCAAAAATGCAAAGGCTATCAGCAGGGAACATGAGATGTTGACCAACTCTGGAGCTACAATACCCATCCATGTACGATCGAATTTGAATCTCACTTACACTCACCTGAATGACCATGAAAACAGGCACAAAAAACCAGAACAAAAGAAAAACCCACATCTGCAGAACTTGACAAAACTTCACTTTGCTTCAAAATTTTATTCAGTGAAACCATAATTTTTGGATTGCTGAAACCTCAGAATTTTTAAAATCAGCTTGGCATTCTTTCTAAGGTTGCCTCCATGTCATCCAAGGCAATTCTGCCATTTTCATCAAAAGCCACCTTCACAGCTGCCACATTGGCCGCCATTTTGGCGGCCAATGCTACTGCCATTTTCATTGCTACTCCGAGAACTTTTGTTAGAACCCTCGCATGAGAAGCACAAGGTGAATTTGTATTTCAGTAAAATTCCATGGGGGGAATTACAGTCAAACTCTGCATGATAAGATGCAACCATGTGTCCACAGAGCAATTTTGGTGGGTTAAAGGGGTTGGCAGTTTATCAAGTATTTCATAATAAATTATTTGATAAAAAAATCAATTTACTTCCATCAGTCAAAGAGATACAGGTTTTCTATAAACTTCAGTAATTTTCCAAAGAGTATTGCTGTGATCAATAGATTACTCTTTCAGAAAATTTATTTTGCTGCATCAATTTATTCAAATTTCAAGATTATAGGTCAATATATTGCTCACATTTTTCAAAAATATTATCATTATTATTTTTTTATTCTTACAAATACAAGATCCTTGACAGAAATTATAATTCTACCCCAATGTTGACATTGTAACAAAGACAAAGCTAAATAGGACACAGCACTTTTGTTTCATCACTAGCGCTTGTGGATGCTTCTGGCATCTAAAATTGAGGTTAACATGGAGGAGATTTGTTTCATTCAAAATTTTGGCAGTTGCCAAGGGTGGCACTTTATCAGAAGCGTCTTAACGCGGGGTTTGACTGTACAATTGAAATTTTTGATCAAACATTTACAATTTTATTTCTCCACAGTCTTTTCCCCCTCCCTGTCTTGACAATTTATTCCCTTTTGGTAAGCATCACTTTGGACAAGGTGATTTTGATGATCAATAAGGTCATCATATATTAAGTTAACTTCCAATTTCTTGATTTATTCTACAGCAGAAAGTTTTTGCGCTAAAAATAATCCACCACATCGTGACGTAGATAGATAGCAACGCAATCCTGCGTCACGCGCCTATTTGAGAACTGCGCCATTATACTGAACGCCTTGCTGAAGTACTGCGGGATCCTGCTGGAAACTTTCTAGTATACAGTACTGCAGAAGTACTTCAACATTTTCTCATCCTGTTCAACGTTGACGAGAAATCCTCACTTCGCCTTTACTGCTGTCACTGTCAACTTGTCAAGTGCAATTCTGAGCTGTTGCTGCTCGCGCCCGAAAATAAGAATGTCGGAAAGACGGGCTTTTGTGATGGTGCATTATCCTCTGTACTGCTGGGTCTTGGGTTTGCTCATCGTGCACCAGGTGGGAATCACAGTCCGTGCTAAGCCTGCGATGATGGAAGACTACGACTCGCCGGTCATCTATTCTGGTACCAAGGTGCGCGACAGAACCCTGGCACCTTGGATGGTGTACCTGCAGTTGGATGTCAGAATTGCTGGTAGAAGTATGAACTGCGCCGGATCTCTCATTTCCAACAGGATCATCCTCACGGCTGCTCACTGCGTCACCTATCAGTGAGTTTGTCAATTAAATGCTGTCTTGAAGAATGGAGGATTTGTGAGAAATACAATATGCCTTGAGTTATGATTATTGAGAGTGAATGTATTGTATATATACTACCCAAGTGGGGAGCTATATTCTTTGTTTGACCCCACAGCTGGTGCACATCCACTGGGGTCACAACTGGTGTACATGGGCTATTCTGGGGTTACAAGCATGCACCTCTGCAGATGAAATTTTGCTACCATTCCAGGGCTACATTTGATGCACAAATGTGACATAACAGGAGTATCACACAAATGCACCAACTGTAACCTTGGTGTAACTTATTTGTTATTGCAACTTGATTGTTGGTTTGGTGCACATTAGGGATATACATTTGCAACAGAAGAAGTTTGGTACACTTCAGGCACAGCAGGGTCACTGTGTAGAATTACAGACATATCCCCATCAGTGTGCACCAATTCCCCCATGCAGGTATAGTGTTCCCCAACCCATGGTCCATGGACTGGCGCTGGTGTATGCAAAAGTGTTTTGCTGATCTGCAATAAATTTTCTGCAGATAATAAAATCATTAAAAGTTGCAATGAAGTCAATCATCTTCATGCGCAATTTTGGAAAGACATTATTGGCAGTTTAAAATATGAATAAATGAAAGTTGGCTTTCTTCCTAATTACCCTTCAGAAAGTTTTTCACCTGCTTAAATTAATTATTGAAATGTTTCATTCTGAGAAACCTTTCTTCAAGCCCAGCTTTATAATTTGTTGATGGAATTTGGCTGTACAGGTGGAACCTTGCAAATCAACCCTATAATCCATTGCCCAACTAGGGTCAAATTGCAAATTGGTCATATTGTGTGACACTCTGTGAAATTTAAAAATATAAGTACAAAAGCACAAAAATGATGAAAAAGGGAGGTCAAATTGCAGGCCAAGGCTTGAATTGCAAGTCCACCTCCCTGCAAATTTGACCATCAAATTGCAGGTTGGTTGAATTGTCAAATTGCAAGGGACCACCTGCTGTAGCTGCCAAATTGGTGCTTAACTGCATTTTTTCATAAAACAAGAACTTTTGATTACAGTGTGTGCCATACACAGTCTTTCAAGCAACACTTTTAGAGTTTGAGAACATTTTATGAAAATTTGCTGGTCTGCAAAGAAATGTAAGGAAATGGACCAGTCTGTGGGCCCAAAAAGTTTGGAAGAACCTTGTTTCTTACTATTTCTTACAGCTTTATACAGTATGTGGACTCTCTCTCTCTCTCTGAAACAAAATTCAAGGGACCTGAAAACCTTTTCCTTTTAAGAACCCATATAACATGGGAAGAGAATTCTACATGGGAAAAAAGAAAAATTTGTAATGCTGAGGAATTTGTAGGGAGATTACACCTGCATACAAGGGTCCTCCCTCTTGGGCGCAGCCTTGGTTATTAAACAAGATTATGAGTATGATGGTAAACAATAATTTATGGTACATCCCATGATGTTTTAAGGTTTTGGTATTTTTTTCAAATTTCTTAATATATATATTTTTTTCAATTTACTGCAGGATGATAAGTGATAACAATTCAGTCATGGCCAGAGTTCTCCATCCATGTCACAAGGGGCTAACATTTTGTCAGAACAGCTGAAAATTGAAATTTCTTTCTTGTTGCAACAAATATCTAAAATTTAGAAAATGTAAGGTTTAAAGGAATGAAATCTCAATTTGATAGCTGGCCTAAAAATAATTTTACTGCCCGCTGTGACATGATGGGTGGAAAACTCTGTCCATAACTGATAAGTTTTAACACATTATATCATGCAGTAAACAAGGAACGTTTTTAAACATTCACAAAATGCCAGAATTTTACAAAATCATGGGTTATTCATTTTCTTTTACCATCTGTCACCTCTAGAATACTCTAGAAATAACAAAACCTAGAAATAATAAAGATCGCGCCCAAGTGGGACATCTCTTGTATTTATATACCTGCTGATGGTCTGTACTTCTTTTAGCCAATTGTATTACAAAGCATTACCACAAATCGAGTCAAAATGTTATTTGACGCCAATTTCCCTTGGTACAATCATTCAACTTTTATTAATTTTCTTTTTTGTGCCTTTGAATGCATTAAAGATGCTTTATTGAAACTCAGTGAACTCTTGTTGAATGTGCAGCAAAAATTTTGTGGAACAAAACGCATCTTGGAGTGGAGTAGTTTCATACTAAAAAAGGGCTTACTGTAATTATATTCATAAAAAACAATGTTTTATTGCAGAAATTCTTCAAGGTATCTGTCCAGATTTTTATAAAAATGTCTTCATTGAACTGTTTACAGTACAGTACAGTCTATGTGAAAATGGGACTCAACTTTGGGACATTTTGAATAAATGGACACTCTTGATGGATGAATTACATTAGCATCTTCTGGTCTCACTGTATTTTCTTTGCATCCCCATCATCAAGCAGATGTGCTGACAGTGGGGAAACAATAACAGGCAAGGGTGTACGATACTTTCTGGGAACATTGTCAACCGTGTTTGATGGCCGGGATGGCAGTGGGGTGATAGTAGCAGAACAAAGGGATATGATCAATGGACTCAAGGTACACCCAGAATATGTTCGACACCCCCCAAAGAACGACTTGGCGTTGGTTAAGATGGTGAATGCAGTGGAATTCACGCCAAATATTTCAGCAATACAATTAGCACTACCAGGTTCCAATCCCGAGGGTCTGAATATCACCATTATTGGCTGGGGACAAATTGAGACTCTTGGTAAGCTAGTTAACATCACATTTAATGCAGTATTCTCAACCCATGGTCCGAAGACCAGCACCAGTCAGCAGACATTTTTTTGCCAGTCTGTGGGAAATTTTCAGCGTAATACATTTAATATAAGTGACAATGAACTCTGTTATCCTTATTTAAGACTTTGGAAAGACAATGTCAGTTGAAAACATTTGATGAATACAAGTTGGCTTTTCTCCTATATAATAAGACTTCATCAGACACATTTTTACTGTCTGAAATAAATTATTTTAATTTCCCATTCTAAGAAACCTTTCTTTAAGGCCATGTATGAAAACAAGAGTTGCACCCAGCGGTATTAGGGGTTATTCAAGGAGGGGATTGACATATACATCCCATGAAGTCTATCAAGCAACATTTTTTCCAAGTCTGTAAACATTTTATGAAACTTTGCCACTCTGGAGAACATTTTTTGGGAATTTGCTGGTACAAAGGTGCAAAAACATTGCTGGGGAACACTGATTTAATGCGCATTTGCAACTTGGATCATCATAAAATTGTATTATGATGAACTTTTTTTAAAGGCCCATCAGTTTGAAGGCAGGAACTCAAATGAAAAAAGTCATGAAAATCTTTGTGAAATAATTTTTCAAAGCTTTTTGCAATACAATAATTTGATTTAAATCGATGTTCTACTATATAATTCAAAATTTGTTGGGACACTTCTTCATTTTGTTCCCAAATTCTCATACTGTCATTCCAAGGTAATTTTCTGAGTATATAGTTTAACTGCTTTTGTTGGGTACAGATTGTCACTCAATAGAGAATGCAGTAAAAAAAAGTATTTCTAGAGAAGGAATTTCTTGTAGCTTTTGATGTGACCATCAAGTGTTTGCTGTTATCAGCTTTGTATATGTTTGTCATTTTGTGTGATAGAGTTCTGGTATGGCTAGGAAAAAACTCTGATTTCAGAAACCAATTTCACTGTTTATAAAAATAATTTTTGGAAAACTTTTCCGAAGTGTCCCAGCTAACAGAAGGTTTATTTTTTAAACAATCATTCCCTTATAAGGTCTTTGGGTCTTGTTTTAAAATACAGTTTTCCATTACTGTATACAGTAAAATCTTGTTAGAAGAAACTCCTGAGGGCCTGTTAAAATTCATTATAAAAAAATGATTGAGATTCTTGGTTTTGAAATTATTTTAGACTGAAATTTTATGGGAAAGGGTTATTAATCACCTTAAAGTGTATTTGAAACAGATAATTTAAAACTTTTCATAATTAGTGAGAGTATTTCTGATGATATAAAGGGAAAATTTTTGAAATGAATAGCAATTTTCTTCCATAAAAGCAGCCTTTGTACTAAGTGTTGCTTTTCTTGGAAAAAATAAACAAAACTAAATAAGGTAGAAATACTCAGAATGCTCATACCCACTCATTAGAGCTGTCTGCTCTTTGAAATAAAGACAATTTGTTCAATGTACTGTTTACTTCCAAGGAAGGCATACATTCTAAAATGGAGCTGTAGAATTTCCAAGTAATGTGAAATTTTTTTTTTTTCGAAACACCAATAAGTTCTCTCTGTATTAAATTTTTTTAATGAACTTTTCGGCACCTTTCAAACTTTCATAAGTTTTCTGCCATTTATAAAAATTCCTATAATCCATATGTGGATGACTATCGGAACAGAATCATGGCCAAAATTTGTTATAATGAGATTACGGCCTATATTAAGTTTGTTGAAAGGATATTTTTTATAACATCTCGCCAATGGGAAACTGCTGGGACTTGGAAAAAATTTGTTGTGCTTAAAAATGTGTAATAACCAGATTTGTTGTAATGAGATTTTATTGTAAAACTTTTTTCAAGGTTTCAAGTAAATGCTTTTATTCTAACAAGGTTTTACTCTGGCTTCTGCTGATTGCAACTCTCCTCTCATGTAAATAGTGACTTCTGAGGACCTGCTGTATGCAGAAACAGATGTGCGATTGAATGCAGACTGTGAGAGGCATTTCAACTGTCCAAACCAGATAGCCCTCTTCAACTCCAGCTCACACTTCTGTGATTCTGGACGTGGCAAGGGCAGTGTCTGTTCTGTAAGTTGCATACTTTCACTATTTCAACCACGAAAATTGCATTCACCTAATAGGTGCTTTATAAATAATGGCTTTCCCAGCTTTTACTGATTTTAATGAATTTCCCAGCTTTCACTGAATTTTACTTCTGGACATCAGAAATTTACCCAATTCCTGGATGATGCGGGTACATATGTGTACGCTGAAGAGATGCCACTGCAGGGATCTGTAAAATGTATTCATTTCAACCAAGAAATTCATTCGTGTGTTACAACGTTATTGTAATAATGTTGTAAAAATGCAGTAATGTAGGTTCTTCTACTTTGTCTGATCAACTTGGACTATGATTGCAAAACATCAACATAGATGGCTGAAAAATTCATTATTTTTCAAAATTTGTAAATTAAATGTTTCAGGAAATAGCAAAGTTATACTCTAGAAGGCCAATAAAAAAATAATGCTTAAAAACATCAAAACAGACTTTTATGCAAAAAATGGGGGAAATAAACTTTTCCCAAAAATGTCCTGGGATAGGGGTCCAAGTGTGGGGCCAAATTCGCATTTAATAAATAGAGGATGAGAATGTATTCACTAAGGCCCCACACTTTTATCAGACCACAATCCCAGGACATTTTTAGAAAAAGCTTATTTTCCCCTTTTCTGTGCATAAAAGTCTGTTTTCATGTATTTAAAGCATTATTTTATTCAACTATTTCTACTTGAATTGTTCTAAGGAAGATTTTATTCCAACAACTTTTTTGTGTCAACATCATAAAAAAGTTCATTCTCTGTATTTTAGCTTGATTACTTGAGCTCATTCTATACAGTTCAGGAATACACAAATGTCCTGCCTTATTTAATTGTTATTGTGAACATAATTGAAAATCCTCATTTGTAAACAAGTTTAACATGTTATTTAAACCTTCCTAATTTAAATATATCTCCCAGAATGAAATGCGTATTCAGGTGGTACCTCACAATTCAACCTCCCACAATTCAACTGTCCTGCAATTTGATGTTCAAATTTGCAGGGAGTTTGACTTGCAATTCAACCCTTGTTCTGCAATTCCACCTCCGTTGGCCACTTTTTATCATTTTTAAACATATTTTTAAATATCACGGAGTGTCTTGCAATTCAACAGATTTGCAATTTGACTTTAGTCTGGCAAAAGATTAGGGTCAAATTGCAAGTACCACCTGTATTCGAGTTTTTTTTTAACCCTCTTGAGCTACTATGTGCTGGGCCCGAGAAAAAAAAAAGTTGAAATTGGGTACGTAATATGAAACTTGATGCTTTACAAACTGATATGAGGAATGATTAATTGGGCAAATGAAGCCTTCCCACCAACATCAGTATATCTGCTGTCATCCTGTCAATAAACGTAAATGTAGAGCAGTTTAATATAAGGTCCAGAAAATCACCAATTTTAACTGGAAGAAGGAAACACACCTGCTTGGATTTTTGCATGCCTATACACAGCAAGACCCCCAGATGCGGACATCAATTGGTGCATCAAGAGTGTCCCTATGTAGGATTGTCCCCAACTCAAATCTTGTTTTCCCATAGACTTACATTATATAATAAGTCCCTCTGTGCTATAGGGCATTTTTAAATTATCTGAATGGATGGGAAAATGATGGGAAAAGTACCAAAGAATTTGTCTTGCATAAATCTTAGGTTGGAAACATCTTTTTCTTGCAATTAAGCCTTATAAAACTCAATTTCAATTTTCCTAAAATTTATTTTGAAATTTTATCCTGCAATGTCCCCAGGTTGAGTCAGTGTCCTCATATTGGGTCTTTTTTATGATTTTGTTTTTCAAAAATAAATGTCCCCATTTCGAATCGTCCCCATGTTGAGGCGTCCACATGTGGGGGTCTCACTGTATATACACACCAGTGAATTCCTTTCCAGGGCGACAGTGGAGGACCAGTAGTGACCCAGTTGGGCGAGGCCGCTGTGCAAGTGGGAGTGGTCTCCTTTGGGGAAGACAATGCATGCAGCGGGACGAGAGCCTCCGATGGAAACCAAGATGGCGAGATACTTTTGAGACGCCCAATGACGAGCGCTGCTGGAGTCCTTGGTCCCGCCATCGCTTCCGGCACCGGCAGCAGCATCCAATCCGCGTATTTGGCTGCTGCTACTGCCCGGAGGGATTGTAACGTGTTTGCCCCCAGTGTGGAGATGAAAGTGTCCGCCTACAGGGATTGGATCGACTCGGAAGCCGACAAATTGGTGCAGGCTGGGTAATCAGCTAAACGAACCCACATTATTCAAGAGCAGCACAATTTGACCTTTCATGCTGGTTATATATAGACAAGGTCGAGTGCTGCAGTGGGCATCATCATAGTGTTTGGGAGTGGATATACATAAAAGTGAAGAACAGTTTAGAAATCACTGTCTTCTTTGTGCTGATCAGCAGCAAGAAAAATATAGAAGCTTTCCTAGCTCACATGCAGGAATGCAAAAAAAATTCCTCCGTTTATTTCTTGCAAAGATGAATTGAAACCAAAGCAGCAGTGCAGGTGGTACCTTGCAATTTGACCATAATCCATTGCCAAACTAGGGTTGAATTGCAAAGGAGTCTAAATGTGAGACACTTTGTTAATTTTGAAAAATATCAGTACAATACAAAAATTTTAAAAAATGGCTGAAGCAGGTAAAATTGGGGGCACAGGTTGAATTTCTAATCAACCTCCCTGCAAATTTCACCTTTGAATTGTGGGATGGTTGAATTTTGAGAGGTCAAATTGCAATGTACCACCTGCATGATATATTATATGGAACACAAGTAATTGATGTAAAATTGAGTTTTCATACCTATTCTTGTATATATCTCCATTTGAACAATATTTGACGGTAGAATATCTTAGTTTTAATAGCCAGAAATCGAGAGTATGCATGTACATTTTCTCATTTTCAAAGATCAAAAGCTGAGTATGCTCATAAGGAATACACATTCTCTAACAAATTTCATCTTGAATTGCAATACAGGTCAATTTCAGTAGCAGCAGAATACATAAACAAAATTTAAAAACTGTGTGTCACACCAAAGGGAGCAAAGTTTCTCAATTGGAAAATGATTTAATTAAGGATCTGTTGAGAAAATCATATAAACAAACTTGGAAAATAAACATTGAAATCATCATCATCAGTAGTCCAGAACATGGGGAAGGCTGTTTCTCATCAGAATATAAACCAGAGGAAAATATATTGTTGTCTAAGATTTTCCTAATAGAAATTAGAACAAATCAGACAAAGTCAAAAGTGTGGCTCAATACTTCTATTCACTCTATCACAACACATCCATTCATTGTCAAATATACAATACAAGCACACACTTTGGAATAGTCAACATATAACAAGAATACAATTAAGTAAAATGTTAAATGGGAACTCTACTATTATCAGAACACTTCCTTTTCCAAGTTACCAGCTAGGACGTAGTTGGGCAGACTCTGACAATAGACTGACCAAGAATTCTTCCTGATCCAGGGTGTGGAGGAGCTTATATACAAATCTGCATCAATAGCAAAACACAGTATTGTGCAGGTTGGAACAAGCATTAATAGTCAGGTCAATCATGACCAGGAACCCATCCGCAGCAAATAATTTGTTACAGGTATTGCTGCGCATAACAGTTATGCATTAAAAAATGCATTTGTTATGCATCACTGTTATGCCCAGCTTCTTCTGAAACGCCTTCCTTTTTTTTCTTTGTTGCTGTACTGACAGTTTTTTCTGAGATGCGTTCAGAATGCGTTTTTAATGCATTCTGTAGTTATGCCTATACTTTAAACATTTTTGATGAGCTTTTCTTGAGTGTAGCAGGCAGGCATTTCAAAACGCCTGCCTGCTACACTCAAGAATTTATATTTTTTCAGATTTTCCTGGGTGTAACATGGAGCATTTTGAAATGCTCTGTGTTACAACCAGGGAAAATCTGAAATAAACAGTTTTTAGCATTGTAACAGAAAGGCATTTTAAAACGCCTGCTTGTTACAACCAAGGGAAATCTGTAGAAATCAGTTTTTTGGGATTGTAACAGATAGGCATTTCAAAATGCCTGTCTGTTACAGTGCCAAAAACTGTTCATTACAGCTTTTCCTTCTTTGTAGCATGGAGTATTTTGTAACACCAGCCTGTTACATTCTTTAAAGTTATTCTTTATTTTTAACNCAGACAGACAGACAGACAAGAAAGTGAGTTCATAAAAACGTGGTAAAAACATGGTAAAATAGATGCGACAATGATGTTTTAAAAATGCGAAATTGTTTTTGTAACAAAACACACAAAAATGCCTTGACTCACTTTGGATGTCCTTTCTTATTTTTTCCTGAATTCTTTCCCCATCCACTGCTGCTACTGCTGCTTGACCACCTAAAATTAAATGGTTTCAACATTAATTTCCACATGGGACTGTGTATTTAAAATACAGATGGAACTTTGCAATTTGACCTCCAACAATTTGACTGTCCCACACTTTGATGGTCAAATTTGCTGGGAGGTTGACTTGCAATTTGACCCTTGCCCTGCAGGGCAATTGACCAAAGCAGTGGCCACTTTTTGTGTTTTTTACCAATATTTTTGAATTTCACAGTTTCTTGCAATTTGACCCTACTTTGGTAAAGGATTAGGCTTGAATTGCAAGGTACCACCTGTATGGAAAGATGGGGATGCTGAAGTTTCTGCACAAGGTTTACTATATACTTGTTAAAAAAACTGTTGAGTCCAAGTTTTGCATTTACATTTTTTTATTATGGGCATGAATACAAGAAATCATTCTGTAAGGGTGCCAATGTTTTCACAGTTTGGTCATCCTTTTTTCATAAGTAATTTTTTTGGAAAATCTGAAGGTAACAGCAGTCATTCCTCAAAAAATTCTAATATCTTATTTGATCAAATTTTCCATGGGGAATTTATTCCAAACAAGAAAATAGCTCTAATTTTTGTGCTCCTGTCCAACATGAGAAGGCAATAACAGCAACAGGGGAAATAGAATTGAGTTCTCCTTCAAATTTTCGATAGACTACAGCATTATTTAAATTTTCCCCAGACAATAAAGAAAAATTACAACTTTCGGGGGGTTTCTGTCAATTTAAATCGAAATAAGTCTGGGTGGAAAACTGAATTGTTCTTCAAAAATGGCACACCCTTTGCGGAAACTTCAATATGAATACTTTTACCCTATTTTAAATACTGTATCATGACAATTTTTTGCTCAATCTTTTGTTCATATTGTACAAACCCGTGATGTCCTTTTCCTTTTCTCCGGTTTTCATCACTTGTAACAAGATTTCCAACTGAGATGCTGAAAAAAAAACACGCACACAGAAAAATTACATTTGATAAACCGAAAATGGAAGATACAAGAAAGCTGTTTATATAATTACAGCGGAAATGCCAAATCCAGCTGTGTGGTCAAAATGGATCCAGTTTCTGCACGACTCGGTGTAATCAGTTGTATGACCACAAAGCAGCAGGAGATTATTGAGCAGAAAATCTATTGGGAAACACATTCAACAAATCCACTCTAAAACCAGTCATTTTCTATCGGTACGTTTTTGAACATCATGCATACCTTCATGATGATGATGATGATGAACACTATTTCACTTTTCCAACACCAGAAAGTTGATTTCTAATTGAAATTTCAATAACCAACAAACCAACTGAAATAATGCACGTCTTCCCACTGAAGCATTGAAGCTATATGTGACAGAGAGTCAGCATTGCTGCAGGTGTCCTATTTTATATTGCTCTGACCATGCAGTGTGAGATTTCATGGATGACCAACTGTTCATATACAATATACTGTATGAGGACATGCTCCACCAATGAAGCTGCTGATTTCCCCCAGCTCAAGCCAAAGAAATAGGTTTTCCAAAAAGTCAATGCGCATTAAATTTTATAATCCATAAAATTGTATTGTTTATTGAATTACAGTGCACTTATCAAATTGAGACCCCAAGATGCAGACGTAATTGGCGCATCAAGAGTGTCCTGATGTTGGGAATTTCCCTAAGTTGAGTCTCATTTTCCTTCAGACTTCAATATGCTAATGTATTCAATTGGTTTTCCTTGTTATCAAAAATTAGAAATAAAAGTCCTTGAAAGTTTTAATAAAATTTGTTTCCCTCAACTTCAAAAGTTGTAGAAAACAACAGTGCAGAATAATGTAGAATCTAATCTTTTGGTTTCAAAATGAGATCAAAAAGCAAAGAAAAAGAATAAGTCTTGCTACAGAATATGGACAGATGATGAAAAAAACTGAAAAAAGAAGCACAAAATTAGATTGCTTTTGATCATCAATTGGAGTGAATTTACTTGAAATATCTTTTTAATTTTGTAGATATAAATAGCTTGGTTTCTTTGGAAGATATCAAAATGTAAAAATAATTTTTTGGGGGGGAAATTTCAGAAAGTGTCTCTAACTTGAGCCAATGTCTAAATGTTGGGCCCGTTTTTTTGCATTTCAAGTGTCCCTTAGTCAAATTGTCAATATTGAGGTTTCTGCATACAGTATTATAGGGTCTCACTGTATATAGTTCTAAATTCTGTGGCTCGCCAGCATATGCTCAAGGAATAACATATGATACAGGTGGATGTGCTCTCTATTATACTGTACAACAATCTAGTCTACAACAATTTTCTCTTTAACGATTATTTTCTGTGCCATAGGCATGGGGTGCCTGGGTTCCCTCCCCATGTCACATATAGGGGTTCTCCACAATAAACTGTCTCGTTAAAAAATATTTCCCTGATTCCTTGAATTTCAATATGTAAAGCAAGAGCACTTATTCACGGATGTAAAGAAAATTGATAGAAATTCATTTCCAAGTGCAGAACAAATTGCAGTTGTGTAAAATGTTCTGTGTCACGTTTTGGCAAACATAATCCAATTTCAAGTTTGCAGAGGCACTTAAGAAAGCAATTGTCTTTCTGTATGATGGGGTCGACTCTACGAAGCAAAAAACAGAACAGTATTTTATTGAAAACAAGTATTTTATTGTTAATGGAAATAATTTGCCTCATTCAACATTATTGCAAATGTTTTGTAAACAAGTATTAAAAGTTTCTCCACATTTTAAAGATTAATTGCAGGTCGAAGATTGAAAAATAAATCGTTTTAAATGTTGACAACGCCATTTTAATGAACTTTTGAGACCCCACAGACAATCTGATGAAGTGATGATGCAATAGAGGATGTCCAAGAGGCGATCTTCAAATAAGTAATGTTTCAAGTCGCTGATTTTCTCTCTTCAGTTGACGCACCAAAAACTACGTACCATGAACGTGAAACAGTTCCATGATTCTCTTCCGCATGGTTGCCTTAATCGGTTTCAAGTCTGTTCCGCAAAAACAACACGCTTTCGTCATTTATTCAATTTCCACTAAGGATATTAAAAAAAAATCCAGAAGCCAATCAAAACTTTTCAAGAATTCTTTTCATTTATTCTTCAACGCATATCAAACGACAGGAGAAAGAAAAATAACAATACCACAGAATTCACAGCATTCTGGTGAATTGAAACATGTCCATTTTCAGCGAAAGATTCGGGTTCTTCCGCAAATAAACCGACATGTGGTTCTTATTCCTGCCACAAAAAAAATGGAAAAATAAATCAGTGACCAACTAAAATTCGATCATATTTTTCTGAAAAAAAAAAAAACAAGTACCATACCAGATCAACTTTCCATCAGGACTCAGAAAACATGGTCTGCAAATCCGTGGTCCAGTCTCAACGCAACGTTTCAACAAGACTTTCGTCCAGCCCTTCGGAGTGTCTTCGTCCGTTCTTCCGACTTCAACATATTTCGTCTTGCCACTGTAGAAAATAGTACCAGCAGTCGATTGATTCGTTTCTTCGCCGTCCGAAGAAGTACTTTTCTTCTTCATTTTCCGCAGAAACTGACTCGAGAAGGGGAACAAGGAAGGATCCAGTTTTTTCTCAGTCACGTAGTTCCACAATCTCGTCGGATTCCTGCAATTTGAAATGTAAAAAAAAATGTTTCGTCCCATTAAAATGCTTAGAAGCAGTGAAAGAATTAATGAACGTCGAATCGAGATTATGATGTTTATAGACCTCGGGAAAAGAATCAGACTATTGTAAGTGGAGTCGAGTTTGAGTCGCCAAACTTCTTCCACGCAGACAAGAAACCCTCAAGATAATTTAAATACCTCCAGAGTGTATGAAAATAAATCCACAAACTTACCACAGCTTCTTCCCCTCGGGACACACATAATAACGCAGGACATTTTTCCCATTGGGGAACTTGTAAGTGACCATTTTCCAACCCTTCGGCAGGCCCTCTGAGGTCTCACTGATGATCTTATACGGCTTTGGGCCTTTGATCCCTTCAACGATCTTTTCTCCGGCTTTGAACTTGAACGGATCCCGATTAAACTGCTCAATGCCTCTTCTTCTGTAGTACTTCATCACTTCGCACATGGTCCTGTCAATAAATCAAATAACTATCAATTTCATCAAAAAATCTCAATCTGTGAAATACAGTGAGACCCCCACATGCGCAGAGACCTCGACATGGCGGGCAATTCGACATTGGGACATTTATTTTTCAATAAAAAAGGCCTGACATATAGACACTGACTCAACATGCAGACATATCGTGATAAAAATGCCAATGAATTACAGGAAATTGACTTTTATTAGGCTCAATTGCAAGAAACTGATAATGTACATCAGTACTTCCAACCCTAAGATCTATGCAAGAAAAATTCTTTGGTATTTCTCCCATCATTCCCCCATCCATTCAGTTAATCTAAAAGATTACCTATAGCATAGAGAGACTTCCTTCTTCCTTTGTGACTCGAAGGTTATTTCTAAGCAGATGCTAACATTTCAATGTACAGTACTCTACTCAGGTACATCATTCAATGCTCCAAATGTTATCATTGAGTTGGAAAGATATTCACAGAATCAAATTCCAGCTGCAAACAAAGTTTTTGCATGAAATTCTGAAGGATATTTCTTCTATAAAACACCAATTAAAAATTATATAATGTAATGTAAGTCTAAGGGAAAACAAGACTCAACTTAGGGACACTCTTGATGCACCAAGTATGTCCACATCTGGGGGTCTCACTGTCGATTCATTCTGGATTCAAGAGAACTCAGAAATGCTTACAAAAGGGTATGCTGAGAGAAACGTAAAAAAAAAACCAGCATCAACATAATTCTTCATCAACCGGGGGTTAATTTTGTCAGTAAAAAGGCGTGCGGGAATCTGACACCTCTCAATCAACAAAAATTGAAAAAGTTATGCTCTTGAAAAAAAAAAGACAACTCACCACAAACGGTTGTTTTCCGGGGTTTCGAAACAAACGCGTAAATGCCCAGTGTTTGGACCATGCCCGATTCTAAACACGACTTTCGTCCATCCTTTGGGTAAGTTATCACTGCATCGGGCAATTTCCTTGTGACCCAAAGATTCGATAGTTTCGGAGGCTGTGGCGGGGGATTTCTTCTTCTCAAAAAGCTTGGATAGTTTCGGACACTCAGGAAGATTGTGGTGCTTCAGGTATTCTTGCAATCGTCGGGAAGTCCTGGGAAAAAAGAGAAAATAACCGAGTATTAGAAGACGAAAACTTTCTCAATTCTACAGCAACTTGCAACACTTAAGTTTGGAGCAACACAGTCAGTATATGCCTATATCATTTCACTTTAGAGCCACCGCAGCCCAACACCCGGTCCGCGGGCCAGATCTGGCCCACAGAGACTCTTCAGCCATTCCGCGGCCCTCGTCCCTATAATTTTCGAGGAGGTAGCCCCCACTATTCAAAATATATATTGAAAGATTAATTTCAAAATTCAACAAGTTGTTCAACCCTTCAAAACATTTATAAGTCTACGCTCATAATTCAATGCATCGCACTGAATTCAATTTTAATTTTTTTTTTTATTTAAAAGGGGGAACATTTGAAACTTACAGAAAATATTGTCTATTTTGGCCTGCAAGGACTCCCTGCACCTGTGCAAAGTGGCCCTTAACAAAAGAAAAAAAGCCTCAATGTGGCCCTCGAATCACAATTGAGTTGGGCAGCACTGATTTCAGCTCTCCTGGAATCGCCTTGGTATTTTGGCAACGCTCAGAAGAGTATTTCTTGATGACATTCATAAAAAAAAAAAAAAAAAAACGAAACGCCGCTTGAGAGGTCAACAAATTACATTCGATTCCTTTTGTTTTTCCTCCCAACACGGCGCCAAGGTCGAAAAATTCCACGCGTAAATAAAATTACTGTACTTGATTATTTCCAAGATGGCTCACCAGAGTCTGGAGCCATCCGGTGTTAAATACCCCAGGTCAACCTTCGTCGTTTCATTACTGAGTCGCTTGCGAATCTCAAGCCTTTCCCAACCATCCGGAAGATTGTCGCACGACTTCGAAACTACGGAGCGCTGAAGGACTTCTTCGGAGGAATCGACTTCCGCGTCGGCGGAATCCTCGCTGAGCAAATCGTCGTCGTACTCGTAGGCCTCGTCTTCGGAATCACTCGAAACGTTTTCTACTTTGACCACACATGCATTTACATCAGGCAACGTTTCTGAGGTGTCAACCTGAAGCGAGTTGATTAAATTCAATGATTTAGCATCGTAACACATTTTTTTTTCAATTCAATTGATTTTTCCACGAACTCGTAGCGAACACTGTAATCTACTTAGTTGAAATCAGATAAAGTACAAAAAAAACGCAAAAGTCAGTGCTTCAGTAGAGTGAGAAATGCCTCCCAAACTGTTTCTAGCAGGACAATTTTTAAAATTTTGATCTAAAATATTAAAAATAAATTTTACGCAAGTTCAAAAAAGATGCAGCCGTTTCTTGCAGTTATGGACGCTGGAGAGAAACAGAAAACTTTTACTTTTCGTCCAGAAATGTGACAGAAAAATTTCTAATCCCAAGATGGGGCTAATTTTGTTGAAGAAAAATTGAATTTTTAAAAATATTCTTAATAGAATACTTTTTTTAACGTGAGGACCTTCAATTTACGCATTAAAAAAAAACCTCGGAAGGTCCTTTCATATTAAATTTTCTGCCGTTTTCAAGATTTATTTTTCAAGTTCCCACGAGTTCTTTGTCACGAAATTTTACCTGATTTTCATCTCGTTTCCGCGGAGAGGAATCTTTATAAGAGTTTGCAGAAAGTCTGGCACTTCTTCTGATCCGTGCGATCGGTGCTTGTTCTGGGCTCTGTAAGACGTCAAGAGTGACTTTCTTGCTCCGGCGAAGACCCAGCTTCGATGATACGACGGATTCGACAACTTTTTGAGACGATTTTGAAGATTTTTTCGCCTTTGAAACGTGTTTCGGCGAAGGCACTTGTTTGACAGGAATTTCGGAAGGCACTTGGAGAGTGACTGGATTCTCGATTTTCGGGATTACCACATCGTTCGGTGCACAGTTTCCGCTTCGTTTTCCGCAAAGCGTTCCCGCACCGTTTTTCGAGCTCGATTCAGGGGAAATGGACCGTGAAGTACCCCGTTCGGATGAATGCCCATTTTCCAACGTCGACGGAATTTCCGTCGTCGGTCGAGGAAGCACGAAGTTCAGCGCTACTTTTTCAACCCCCACTTCGGGATGCAATCGGAAGAACTCGTCCAGCTGCAATTTCTTCCTGCAAGGGGATACAAAGAAGCAATCAAACAGAGTCGTACCCCGGATTATGGACACCTCGCGCAAAGAACTTTACGCATAATATTTTTGCTCCGGATAATTAATCACACGAAAAGTGCGTGTCACACGACTGTCCACTAGAGCAAATTAACCGAGGCACCACTGATTCAGTAAGAAACCCTCAAAAACTGCACTTTACTCAGAAGTCCCCAAATTTTGATAATGGACAGGAAAAGCAGACAGAAAATTTTGAATCTGCAGCTTTTTAGAGGAATTACGAGACTTTTCGAATGCAGAATCGTGGATAGTGAATACTTCATAATCCATGATGAGGTATGACACGCGCTTCTCGAGAATTACAGGAATGTACGTAGTATAAATACAATAGGTCACAAGCAAGTAATCTTTCAATAGAATTCGATAAAAATATTCGATCTACAAAGTTTCCGGATATATGATAAAATTCATGATTTCGATTTTATTTTCAGTCAGATAAAAATGCGTACCTGATTTCTGAGCCATCGGGGGCTATCAAATATGCCCAGTGGGAGTAGACACTAGAGGGCAACCGACTTTGGCACACAACTTTTGTCCAACCTTCCGGCAACCCGCAGTTTGTGCGAAAAACTTCGGGGCATTTACCCCTGCCCGGCTTTTTATTGAGATACCTTTTCCGAGTTTTCGGCTTTTCCGGAACAACCACTGGATTGACTTTTTCCGAGATCGACGAAACACGTTTACTCTTCTTCTTTTCGCCGAAGTCGGATCTGAGGATATTAAAAAATATATATATATATTTTGGAATCACGCAGAATTTTCATGGAGAAGTGCCGGGAAAAATTTGCAGTGCAATGCAAAACATCATCTTTCTGGAGATAAGAATGGCCACAACACTTTTCCGGGAGCATTTAAATTGGCATGAATTGAAAAAAAATATCTTCAGACCTCTTCGGGACATAGAATATACAATGAATTGCAATACTGTTCGTGCAGCACCTTTTACTTCATAAAATCGAGTCAGCAATTTTCCAGATTCTTTCAATTTGGATAGATTGCACACAACGCATCGAAGAAATCTTACCGCTTTTTTCGCTTGACAGGACGGCTTGTGTTCTCAACATCAACGTCTTTGAACACACTTGACAATGGCAGCGATCTCTGGGATACTTGAGATTCACTTTTAGCATCACATTCCTTCCTAGAAATGAGAATACGCAGGCATCAACTAAAAAAATCAGGCGAAGTCTCATGAAATTTCTCCAGAATTCAACCCCCGAAGTCTAAAATTTTCAATCTAAAACGACCCAAAATTTAATTATGCAATTTCCCAATTGAAATAATTATTTGAGCTGGAATATCTCCATTCAAAAATATAACTAGGCTCTTATAAAAATACTGTAAATCCTAATGGTAATATTCCTCGAAATCCGAAAAAAACTACTACGCAATAATTAAGGGTAAGCAGTACCGAACATATTTAGTTCGTTCATCCCAGAAGTTCAAATTTAAAGGTTTATTTAGAATTGAACATCTGAAGAACTCACAAAATATGAAACGGTTGCTGCGAAGCACTTGGAATTATTTTCACCCCGTTCCCAACTGGTTCTGGAGTCGTGGTGCAATTCCCAGATTTGTCATCGCAGTCTTCCTCCAACAAAGCCTTCCAAACTCCTCCACGTTTCTGAATCCCATTGCGGCAGAACTTCGAACGCAATCTGGTCATCCAAGAATTAAACAATGATTTCAACGAGAAACAAATCGCCCACTAAAGATCCTTACTTGGGAGGCAGTTCAGAAAAGTCGCAAACATATTTGTCGCCATCGAACAATTCCATGCCTCAGCGGATCACATCCTGAAAATAAATCTTTTGGAGAAGGGACGAGATTCGAAATCGAATTTGAAACCACACGACGACGTCACACGTAAAGTAAAAAAAAAAAAGAATTTTGAAGTGAAATTCCTTAAAAATTACGATCATCTCCATCTGACCAAAACTCCGCTGAGAAAAGCTGAACAATAAAAAAATCTACTAATTAATCCTCGCACATTAAGAACAGATTTCAGTTCCACAAAATGTTCTTCCATGTGACGACGTTGTTGGTGTTGAAATAATTCAACGCCAAGAACAAGAACCTGAAAACGACCCAGTCGTTTCTTTTCAATTCCACTCCCCCAAAATCACGCAAGTGAAAGTACAATTTTTCAGTGATCGGCAAACAAAAATCAACTGGACAACAAAACACTCGCACAAACGGATAGAGAACGAAAGTGTGTCTTTTCCAGAGAGCTGAGGAAAAAATTACACATAAAACAGAGCTCGAACAACAACAACAACAACAACAAAAGAAAGCTCAAGTCACAGCTTCCAGACCCGTGAGTCCCTAAATATGCAAACGTATCCTCTCAAAACATATATTCTTTTCGAGCTTCAAAAATAAAACGCATCGGTGATCCGAGCTGGAAATGCGGGATTTCGACGCAGGTGGCAAGAAAACAAACGCTGCACTGATTTTCAATATTTTGGCGTGAGTTATACACTCGGAAATCCCATCTTCAAACTTCCAAAAAATTAACTCAATTTCCCGATTTCAAACTTCTTCAAGACCTCCGATGCCGTGAAGATACACGAGTCGATGATACCAGCCACCGTGAACGTTCCTCCAACGATCGCACACACCTTCAATAAATTCGAAAAATATTATAAATGTTCACATGTCACGTCAAAGATTCAGACTCAATCAAGCTAAAATTCCCATTGCGAGGTTCACACTTTTTTCAACGGAAATGTTTTTTGAAAACATTAAAATAAGATACAAAAGAATATTATTACCGTGGTAAGGAAGGAATAAAACGGCGGCCGTTTTTCGTGATACTTCACGGTTATTGGATTCAAGTCGTAGCGGAACCAAAGCGCGGGAATCACTCGACCGCCATGCCCAAAATTCACAAAGCTCTTGAAATAAAATTCGCTCATTAACACCTGCAATAAACAGTTCGTCCTAAAAAAAATTAACTCACCCTATATGCGTAGGAATATTGGTAAGACAAGGAGGATTCTCCTCGCGAGGTCTCAAACACAGTTGGTACGACTTTCAAAACGTAATTGTGCGATTCGAGTGCTGAAAAAAAATAAATTCGTACGGGTATTCGTAGCGCAAAGTTTCATTTCCGGCCACATTGCTGATACGGCTTCAATGTGATCATTTTTTCGAGTTACAAATTACAGAAAATACATTGAGAATAAATGTAAAACTTTTTTACCGTTAGCATCAAGCTTCGCCAAGTTCGACATGGGGTTGAAAGCACCCAAAACACCACGGGTTTTATCCAGAGATTCCCCGAAACGAACCTCATGGATTGTGTGCGCAAAATCAATGTCATCCGGCTGAACATTCGCAGAGTGAGTGGACACGTGGAAATTTCCTAGTGGAAAAACGACAGAGAGAGAGAGAGAGATAGAAATTATTACACGTTATTTTTATATTCAATCCTCGACATCACGGATGAGATATTTAAAATAATTACAAACCAGGGACTTTGTTGATGTGGAAAGTAGACGAAAACAAGCAACCAGCGTTGTTCTCTATTGGAACTTTTGCTGTGTTCTCAACAAAGCCAACTTCGTGACGACCCATTTCATCCTGAATGTCCAAACCGACATCTGAAATAATTCCACCTCTCATAATCACAGTCATGCTCATTCCGCGGTCTGGCAATATAATTCGAGACTCCTCAGTGAAAATATTAATCACCACATAAATAAATCCGATTAAACTTTGATTGACTACGATCTTGCAGCATTGCTTTAACCAGGCAAATTTCACTTCTTTCGCTTCAACGCATTACGCCTCCGATAAAAAATTATTCCAGGGATTGCCTAAATTACTTTTCAGTTTTTCTCAGGCCAAATTTGAGTTAATTTAGGTTTTGTTAGGCCACGTTTATTCAGAATAATTATTCAAGCGACATTACAGAAAGCAAGAGCAGGCATTGAATGCGACAAAAATACAAAATAAAATCCCCATCTCGATTTCTTTAAATCGTAAATTCATTAGGGTCTACTCCCATTTGGAACTCGTTCAAACCATTAAATCACAAGCTTAGATAAAAATTAAGCACATACGCGATGATTTTCCGTCCGACTCATTTATACCCTATTTTACGTATTGCTTCAACTGCTGAATAGCAAAGCGTCTACTTCGCTGATTGAAGAATACAAATATTTCGAAAAGGACAATAAATTAAGCAAAAAATTACCTCTCAGAATAAAAAAATTTAAATTTTGTGTCAATTTCCTCTTTATAAATAGAAGTTAGAGAAGAAGTCACTCACATTGACAAGGCAACCGGGGAAGACTAATGTTGATTCTCACTGGAATTCGATCCTCCGCACTTCCAGGATTATCAACGAACAGCTCTGAAACACTGATACAAAATAATTTTCAATCGTTGAACTATATACAGTATAATCAATGAAAATTCCGAAGCTTCGACAAAATTCCGCCAATCTCACATTTCTGGGGAGATGAAAGACATAAACTCCGAGATGAATAAAACCGCCATGAATAAACAGCAACATATTGAGATCACTGCACCAGTCAACGTAGGTTGCGTCAAATCCTTCGGCACCTTCCGATAAATATCAAATCTGCAATAGGATATCGCAAATGAGAAAAAATGAATTTCTTCGCATCAAGTGGAATACTTGCCTCTTGACATCGAATCCCATTTCGAAAAGCTTTTCGTTTTATGCGGAATATCGAACACTAGTGCAGGAAAACTACTCCCACACAGCCCCAACCACAGGAACTAACGAGGTCCTTCAAACCTAGTAATTCATCTGAAAATAAAATTCAAATTAATTTTTAAGACATTGATTGAGAAATTAACCGTGGGAATTCTTCCAACGTTCACTCTGCAAATTAATTCTACAGATTATAACGAAGTGAACGTCGAAGTGTCCCGAATAAATAATTCGACAGCCAAGTTTGAGACCAAAAGGATTAATAATTTCGTCTTCACTTCCCACGCAATTTCTTACAACTTCTGCGCAGAAAGAAAAACAAAAAAGGCATTCTCGAAGAACTTTTGCGGTCCTAATCACACGATTTCAATCGTTTCATCTCTTCCGAAGAATTTTTCGCAAGCACACCAAAAAATTCCGGAGAACAGGATCGAAACCAACTGAGATTCCTGTTCACGTAAGATATTCCCAAAATTTGACTGCAATTTGTAGACTCCCTCGTTTCCTGAAACTCAATCACGCCAACTAAAATTCGCTCCTGGTCCATCAATAAACATGCAATCAGCTAAAAAAAACGCCAACAAAAAAAGCATTTGATCTTCGAGTCGTGTAACAGACAACAGAATCTCATGCCGTGGGAAGCAATAAAAAAAACTGAAGATCTTAATCACAGACGGAGCACATTTTCTCCTTCCCACAGTAAAACGGAGGCATGGCTTCCTAGCATCCCGTCATCAGAATGAAGCAATTGGCCCTTTCTTTTAAAACTTGAGCTGCTCAAAGTAAGGACACCAAAAAAAAAAGAAGGAAACTTCATGACACAAAGCCCCACCGCTCCTTTTTGATAACATGAGCACGTTAGTCTTCATGCAAAAGTCAACTCTAACTCTCCACAAAAAATTCTCTGCCAGTAAAAAAGACGGCAGTGATTTATGTACTCATAAATTACACGACACCGACTGGTAATTTCCCCATTGCTTCATAAATATTACGGATCCGACAAAAAAAAGAACAATACGACTCGAACCACCGTACACAATAAGCAGCGAAAATCCACAAATCGTTCAATGGGTGAACAAAGGCGTACAAAGGAAGATACAATTTTCCGAAACATCGACAGAAGACGAGTCATCAAGTAAAAATTGCTGCAAAAGGCATTTCGCAAAAGAAACAAATCTTTGTTTTTATTCCAGGCGACGCACAAAAATTGTACTGTATATCCAATATTTATTTTTCAATACTCCGAAAATAATGCACTGTACTTGAATGCTGTCTTCCGCTGAAACTATTGAACTTATACAGTTCATTGTACCATCAAAGTATTTTAAATTCAGAGAATGCATTCGCAATCGTTCAAAAACTAAAGGCTATTTTCGGGGAATAACCTTGATGCATCAAATCGCGAGAAAATAACATCTCGCGACCGATGTCAAGACTGAATTTTAGTAAGAGAACGTCGATCACTCACGATTTTTAAAATGGCGTACGTACGAAGAAACAACTTCCTCATTATCCACGAAAAAACATTTCTGCGCATGGGCTCGACTAAAATTACTCTCGGAATGTCACAGACGCAAGTTACAGTATTTTCAAATGGAAAAAGAAAAACTATTTCCGCTGATCCTGAAGAAATCGAACAAGTTACACACCGCTATTCGCGAAATACGGTACAATCATCAGGTGGTACTTGCAATTTTTGGATCCTCTTCGGTCTACTTGCAACGTCACGAAAAAGATAAAAAAAAAAGAAAAACATGGGATTGTTTACTTCCACATGGACAACGGTGAAGTGGACCTCTAGGCCGGCTAGTGGTAGTAGTGATGGTGGTGGTAGTGATGGTCGGGTCACCAGGACAGTGGTTGACTATGTTGGTGATGTGCTCGGTGAGCGGGATTTTACTTGGGTCCCGGGTAGTAATACGGTGGAGGACGATCGTATTCGGGGCCCAGGCGTGGATCATTGCTCGAGTACTGAGGTGGGCCGCCGTTCGGGAAGTCCAGCCTGGCACGAAAATAACTTTCCGGTCAAAAATATAAGCCAATACTTCTAGAAAATCACTTTCGTCCACAAAAAAAATCACCACATAACGAAAGGAATAGCCAATATTTCTAGCAAATCACTTTTGTCCGAAAAAAAACCCCTACACAACAAAAGTAATAACCCAAAATTTCCAGTAAATTACTTTCGTCCTTAAAAAAATCCCCGCATGACAAAATTAATCCTATTCAGGGTGACATTTGTTATGCAGATGAGGAATTCCTTCGAGTTTCAATTAAAATCAAAATGAAAATTTATGGTGTAATAGACTCACAAACGCTTGAACTTTAAAAAAAAAAGAAAGAATGCACCAATACAAAAAATGGAAATAATTCCTGCCATCATCACTATTTCCGAAAGACAAAAACTTCTCTCAGAGGTTGTCGGTATCTGGATGATGCCCGCATTCATTTCACAATGATGCTTGAAAAATGGTTCATAAGTTTAAAATCATAACAAGCCAAAATGCATTCCTTCTTGTCTGCAAAATTCCATTACGTGAGTCACATTTCTTTTTAAATCCAAGATAAATATTCATCACGCAAAATTGTTGTCCAGGAGTCCTTCGCTATGCGTAGACCCCCTCAAATTTATCCCTCAAAAATAGGACCAAGTTTGGTATTTATTTTACACTTCGAAAAATGTGCAGAGAAGCTAATTTCCAAGAGAGCTCTAAACAGATTATTCCTTCATACATCGAAAAACACTGTTTAGTCGTTAATCTCTCCACCTGAACAAATAAATTGGCCTCGCGCATAGCTCACCAGTCCCTTTCGACTTTTGATGTGGTTCAACGTTTTCTTTTCAGACAACTCTAAAAAACGTTATTGAATTAAATGTACCGTACAAATTTTAAAGGTTGGCTCGCTGACATTTGAAAAAGCGACCGAATTTACGTCAAAAATTATATTTTGAAGAATGACGATAGCTACGCTTCTACCAACGAAGAAAAGAAATCCAACATGAAAATTTTTTCTAGTTCTTGAGAAGTACGCATTTCGAAAGATCATTATTACGTTAAATGCGCAAAAAATATAATTATAAATATAATTCCCGTTCATTTCGGAAATGAGTCACGCCAAAATCTACGCCAAAAAAGTCAGCTTCTTCCCCGAGATTCCCATTAGAGAAGTACCTGTCGACTGCTTCGGAACTTAAATGTTTTTAAGCAACTTTCTCACTCTTAAATCTAAAAAAATATCAGCCAAATTTCTTTAGTTCTCATGCAACGAAGGAACTGGCCCCAGAACTCAACTTCGATCCGGAATTCAACATACACACCTGACACCCTTTTAAAATCTTGAACTCCTTACTTACAACGCAATACGAAAATCCGATCGAACACTCGATTCATTCAATGCCTGAATTTCTTACCGGTAAAATTAAAACGTCTGTAAAAATTCAAAAATCCATGAAGTACCTCAGTTTTTTTTTTTCTTCGAAGCACAGTAATACTGTACTGTATTACCGTAAACAGAATCTTATTTTAATTTTAAAATCTTATCGAATTAAGAAAAGGGGCCTCAGAACTGAACTTTAATCCGAGATTCATCATTCAAAGTTTCAAACCCATTGAAATTTCGAACTCCAAACTCGTCCTTACAAAGCAATACAAAAATCCGATCAAACACACAACGATTCATTCAATACCGAAACTTCTTGCAGAAAAAATGACCAAATAAAAAAATAAAATAAAAATCTGCGTGAAAATCCGCCCATAAAAAAAATAGAAAGAAAAACCAAAACGGGAAAGAAAAGAAATACAATATATTGTGGCCGGAAATGCTGTCCACCAGCACAAACTCGATATGACCTACCATTCGTCGTTGGTGGCCGGGGGTGCGGAGGAGAGGCGCGAACCGGCAACGGCGGAATACCCGGGTCCGTTGGACGTGCTGGCCTGGTGCTGATTCGAACTACTCGCGTTCAAACGCTGGGCGTAGCTCGCCGCCGCAGCCGCCCTGCTGTCTTTCTTGTCCACGCTGTGCCGGGAAACAAAACGGTATCTAACCATGGTTGCCCAAAATTAGGGAATACGTGTTGACCGATCGAGGGACACCCAGGAGGAGAAGGAAGAAAGAAACAACGCAGGGGCTTCGCATTAGAAAGAGAGAGGAGAATAGCGTGCCTATAGGAGGGTGTTCAATTTGACAAACACACGAAATACAGTACTGTGGTACTACCGTGAAATGAATAATCGAACATACACTTTATATTCATTGAGAGCGGAATCCATATTAATGTATTCGTAATTTCTACCTGACCCGGGTTATTTTCCTCTGCTTGATTCGGCATCTGGGCTAATTCACTTCCAAGATTCTCGGAAATATCAGCAGAAATAATTGAGTCATTCCCAAAATTTTCAGACAAGTTCAACAAAATTTATTGAACGGTACAGTATTATTTTATCATGGAAAATGAGCTCGGTTATCTGCATGAAAATCTACTGAAATTTCCAAAAATTGCGTCACGACGAGTCTTAATCACAGAAGCGTCAAAATTTCGAAATTCATCACAAAATAAGCGCTGTCTTTACAGCAGTCCCTTCTCTGGATGAGCAATGACTAAATTTCGAGGGAAAACAAGTACCGAACAGTACTACATGTCACCGATTTTCGTAAGAGATAAAAATTAATAATTATCTTCAACAGATTATTTCAGCAACAAGATTTCACATGCACTCGCAAACGTACATGATGCATTCCTCATCACTTCAACGCCCAGTCTTGAAATCTTGTTTTTTTTTTGTGCATATTACACGATACGAGTGTTGCCTGAATTTTGTTAAATTTTTTCAGATTTAATCTACGCTAAGATAAATCAGTTTTTTAAATGTTCAATCAATTCCGTGTCAATTTAGAGATTCACGTCGACACTGCCACAGGTATCAGAAATCAAGAGCGGGCATCGAAATGAAAGGAACCAATAAGACCTAGAAGATGCAATTTCGGCGTGAAATGCAAAACTATACCAGAGAACAACTGACAAAAATCAAGTCCAAAAAGCGACTACGTGCCAGCGATTGTTTCCTCACTGCCTCAGGACGTTAAATACGAAATGTATTGGAGCTCGATGACACGATTTATTCAATCGAAACATTGAGCATCGTTCGTCGTGTCGAAATAATAAAAATTCTAAAACCTTCCTGCGAACTGCTTCATTGGGCAGGAGGAAGGACTCTACTTAAAATCTCCTACTGTCATCAAATTAATGTACTGCTAATTTCTTATGTAGGAATAAAAGTGAAATCCAAAAGTAAAATCCAAGTTCAGAGAAAAAAGAAGCAATTTTACTCATGAATTGAGCACGAAAAGAATCCTATAAAAATCCGTCGCATAATACGGTGCCCTGAGCAGTCAACGCCTCCAAAAAGAAACATTCCTCAAGCAATAAGCAAAACGACAAGCATTTTTTTCCCCATAGCAGAATCCCGAAATAATTTCAGAAGAAAAAAAAACCATCAGGAAATGATCGTTCATGACTGATCTGAAACCTTACCACGACGCACCTAATAAACTTCTCGAGACGAACACAGGGGAGCACACGTATTAAGTAAAAGCATGCAGCTATAGAAAAGCTGAAACGAAGCACTCACTGTGCAAGCGGAAGATTGTCCCGGTCGCTGTAGGCATCGTAGAAGTACTCCCTGTTTGAAAAAATAGATGGCCGAGGAAAAAAAAAAAACAAATCGATACCCGTATAAGGCGTCAAGCGAATCACGAAAATAAGAAGAAAATCCCATAATGAATACCTATACCTGTATTCACACGATTATAGGCCACCCCTTGATTTTGAGGAAATCAATAGACCTTTATGGGCCAAAGAAATTTCGTGAACTCTGCGAGGAAATTTACGGATAACACTCGAGGGAAAAACGATTGGCATTTAAGATTTCATTGAAATATACACACTATGACAATTATAAAAGCTTGAAAAAATAAAATCTTAAATACCTTGGGTCAAAATCTCCAGAACGTTTATTTTTACGGCGGTCATTCTTCTCAAGTTTCCTTGACCTGATATTTTCCATCCATGAGATCTCAAATATAAGCCTCACCTTCAATTTATTGTGCACTGTCCTAGAATACCTCTACTAATAGCCGTATCGAAGCCAACGCATAAAAGTTTTAGGAGGGGGCAAAAAGGCGGCATATAATTGCACAAATAAGGTACACCGCACGATCTCATCGCTCAGGTATGACCAATTTGATTGGCGAGATTCAAAAATATCCTTCTGCCATTATGCCTCGGTTGGCTGGATTTCCACTAATTTTCATCAACGTTACACACAACGATTCGTATCAAAATTTTCAGCTAAAAGAAAGCATTTTCAGCCACTACTTTTCTTTGTAGCAACGACATGAAAAACTTTTGTATAAAACAGAAGAAAACGGTAGTACTGAACGATGAGAACAGCAGCACCAACATAAAAAAACCATATCCCCACAAAGGCTGAAGGAGAAAAACACCCAGTTCCAGGGACTAAGACTAAGCATACAAAGCCAGTGAGCTTCGACACCGACATACAGAAGTTGTGCGTGAAAGCGAGAGACACGGATAACCAGAAAACCGATAAAGCTTGCTTCCTTTTTCTCCGGCAACCCCGAGGGAATAAAATCGAAGACTAACGACTCTGTGTACCCCATGCGGGGATCCTGCTTGATCCTGGCGTACAGTGCCGACAGCAAAATGGCGAAGATGATCGCTGGAATGAAGAGCAGAACCGACCATCCCAAACCTGCCCACACGCCGCTCTGCAAACACAAAATAAACAGAAAACGTCGATTACAATTTAAAACTCAGTTTGAAGTGATGACCATGCTATGGACAATAATCGAAATACTGAGGATTGAGGATAAAATTGAGTTTTACGCTTTCTTCACCTGTAATTATACAATTCTTGAAAGACTTAAACCAATTTTAAAGACACGACAAAAAATTAATTTGTATTAAGTTGTGCGTTTCACAGATCTGGAGAGGAAACCAATTTCCTTGACGTTCGAAGAATCCCTCATAAACTCATTTTATGGAGAAGTGAAGAGAAAGTCGAATATTATACATTATTTCAATTGAAGTCTAGCTGACCAAAATCGAAGAGAGATATCTCGGAAGAATTCCATAACTTCAGAAAAAAACAAAAAACCCGTTCATGTCAAAAGCTGAAAAAAGAACAACAAAACTTACGAAAGGAAGCATCACGTTGTCGCAGAACGTGTCCACCGTCGTGTTGTAAGCTTTGCTCACCGGCCCACAACGCCCAAAATCCGACTTGAGCGCACGCACCATCTCCGAAATCGTCTCATTCAGAACCTGCTTCAGATCTTCGGAAAATCTTTGCCGGACCTTTCCATTGAACAAAGAAACCAACGAAAAAGGGGGATATAAAAAAAGTCATCTCGCTTTTCTAGAACTTAAAATTTTTTTTATTTCGCCTGCAGTAGCTCTGAAAATTATCCATAATGGGGGAAAGATTATTTTCAATTTCGCTCAATTATTGTTGTGGATTGAAGCCCTAACACTGAAATCCTCACAGAACTATCATACTTCAGAACAAAAATTCCCGAATTTCCCTCACGAGTTTATTTTAAAATTTTCACGAACGAGCCAACGGAAGTTTCAGGTGCACTGACCATGTTGGTGATTTCCGGTTTACGTGCATTCAGGCGATCCTGGCTCTGAGCAACGAGTTCAACCCTCGTCTCCACAGCCAGTTGCAGTGGCGTGTTTTTGTACTCCAGGTAAGTGATGAGTTGATCACCAATCGTAGCCATCAGCGACAACAAGCGCTGCGTTTCACTCAACAGACGCTCCTGCGCTTCTAATCTAAAGGCCAAGTTGTACATCTTCCCTTCCTATTGAAAAAATAAAAACATTTATACTTGATATAATAACGTAAATTCGCACCGAAGATGTGCGTACCCATTCATGATGTCCCGATTTGCCGAGACTCTCAGCAGTATCATTAACGGCAGTTTCGATCCTCTTCAAGTCTCCTTCCACGAGATTGCGTGATGGCTGTAAATAAAAAAAAAGTTGATTTTCTTCCAATAAATTTACTTTCTTTTATATCATCACGAATCTTTCATCCGAAAACATTCCACATGATGATCGTATTTAAAATCATTGAAAATATTTGTTTACCAGTGATCGGTATAGCTCGATGTTCAGAGCGAATATCTGAACTTCCGTGAACCTCGCCAACTGCGACTTGGCTGTTTCGTTGATGAGTCGCAATGGTTGTCTCGGCAGTTCGATTTTGCTGATAAAATCTAAAATATTTTTGTCCACTTGATTCTTCACAGGTAGGCTGGTCAAGTTATCCATGTTCCACAATCCTCCCCAATTGAACACATCGTTCATACTTTGATTCCTATGGCAATGTCTGAAGAAAAAAGAAAAGAAAAAATCAATGAAAAAAGGAACTCTTTCCGAATCATACCAGATTCTTGATTTAGAACAACATTCACGCCCGTGACATTTTTTCGAGAGTAATCTGAAAAAGTTCGGTGCATTCAAAGAGATTGATCAAGATATATACAATACTGTATATACGTTCATACGTAAACCAATAAGTCGAGTCAAACCCACCTTTATTCTTAGTCAGAGTCGATCACAAGTCGGATAAACTGTGTCCAACGCAACGAACTTCGTAGATTTTTCAGCTTATGCACAAGTTTCATTCAGAGTTTGCCTATCTTTCTCAAATACTTTCAGAAGTCTTGAAATTCACTGACATAACCCTCACGCATTACAGTTCCACATTTTTCGGTTGGTCGCGTCCCACAACAACGTCACGGTGGTCAGTCACGCGCAATGATTGCACCGATGGTTGGGACTGGAATGAAAAGAAACTTACTTCATGAGGTCGACCAGATGAACTTCAACCGTCCGACTGCCAACGGTTTTGGCAATTGTGATCTGATTGAGAGCCTCGGTAATAGAGTTGTCGGGAAACTCCGTCAGCGTCGTGCAAACCATGCGGCTTGACACAGCACCGAAGGCGAAGAAGATCGTCGCCACCAGCATGACGACCATCGGCACCAACATCATGGCATAAACGGCGCTAAAACATCAAAATTATTCTCCTCGATCAAAAAAGACCAGTGCATTAATTGTCCTTGAACGCTTGGACTGCTTTTCGTTTAGTGAGGTAGGTGTCGCCGCAAGCGGGTCGCACTTCTTGCTAAAAAAAAATGTTGCGTAAAAAACTACAGGGCATCTCAAACTAGAAATACAATTCTATAGGATGCCCTCAAATTATTAAATTCCATTAGATGTCACAGATTTGGGCTGACTCCGATTCTAAAGAAGAAAAAGCTATTTCTCGAGGTTTGAAGTACAGTTCAGCAATGAAAAAATCAAGCGTTCTTCAGTCAACAACCAGATAATTGGTCCGAAGAAGGAGAGTTTCTCTCGGCAACTTGAACAAACTCCACAGAATCTCATCAACATTACCCAACTCAACCCGAACAAAACGAAAATATGACGTCGAGGACGTGAGGCGTCCCGGTGAACATCTGTATTTTTTTTTCATTCTACGAAAAATAAGAGGACTCACAAAATGTAGCAATGGGCACCAGTTCGTCGCGAACAATGAGCCTCTCCGTAATAGTGATGCACCGGGGTCCCGAAGAGTCCAAAGATGAGTCCCATGAGCAAAATGCAAGTGATGAGCATGACTACACCCGCCATCCCAATCGTCACATAAACCCTAGAAGAGAAGAGGCAACATTTAAAAAAGTACGAATGCAGTACAGTACAGTATTTTGTTTCGCGGACAGCACTTGAGTGAAAACAATCTTCCGCGATAATTAAGCTTATCAATCCAATCTAGAACTCGCAAAAGCTCTACCGCATTCTAAATTTGGGCTATCACGAACTAAAAAAGAAACACGTTTGTTCAGTAGTTGCTCATCGAGAGCATTCTAGTATTGAACTATGCTTCAATAATTACCGAATATTTCCCTGAAAGCCGCCATTAAAAAGAACAACTCAACATAAGAAAGAAGATTATTTCAAGAATAATCAAATTTCTGGAAAAAGCAACCAAGGAGCAAACATTTCAGAATTCTGAGCCTTTTGGTAAAGCAGATGTTTTTCAAGGACTTCGCGCTCTTCCGAAATAAGTCGTGGAAAAATGCAACAATGAAAATGCATTCGTATACGGTATATTCGAAGTACAGTATTGTACTGTACATTATCCCTTCCCCTTTGACGAATTTGATTTTACAGGAAATATTTCGAATTCCGAGCAATTCCGCATTGATTGATTCCTACAATAATTATCTTTCAAGGAAACCCAAGCGAGCAGCAAAAACCTCATCGCTGTCTAAAATGTTCAGTTGAGCGTCTTAGGTTCAGGAAAGTAACGCTCATTCTTCGAAATCGACTTGGTAATAATTTGTCACGAATAAAACGTTTTTACATTTACTTGCACAGTATTGCCCACGAGGACACCTGATTCCCAGGCTAAAATGTGCATCCCTGAATAATTCCCGCGAACAATCATTCAGCTCACCCCAACGGAAGAACCTTGTCAACCACGTATTCAGTCTGCTCAATGATTCTGTCGGCAGTAGAAGAGAAGTCGACGTCGACCAGCGAAGACCTCAAGTGAGCATACCAGCGATCGATCGAATCGCCGATTTCTTTCAGTTTCTCTTTGATGCTGGGTATGACAGACTCGACTCGATCTTGCACAGTCTTGTTTACCGAGTTGAGTAAAGCTCTTCCCACACTCGCATGTCTCACAATTCCTTCATCAACCAATTCTTCCACTGATCCTATTATTCCGGTTAAATCTGGTAGCTGAGGAAAAAAAACACGAACATTTTCAACAATCGAAAATCGTTTTCCTGTGAGGTCTGGAGTTTTTAATTTAGGTTCACAACAACACTTTAAATCCTTTTCTCACTTTTGAATTAATTCAAAATTCTTTCAAGGTCCTACTTCAAGATCCGTGGGGTTTTGCCCACGTTCCCACAAATCCATACAACTCAAAGGTCGCCGAAAAAGATGTCAAAACTTAATTTGTTTATTCTTCTGTTTCAGAAGACATCAGACATTTATCAAAATCCAAGTAATAAGTGAGTTTTCCAATAAAAAAATATCGTAATACGAAGAAGACTTTCTTCGGAATACTCAACCCCTTCTTATCAAGAAGAGTTTAAATAATACTGTACTTATTAAAAAAGGAGAGCAACTCGAACACATAACATTTTAAACAAAATCATGTCAGATCTAAATTTTTTAAATCATTAAAAAGATTGCGAACACGTCAAACGAACTTCAAGTGTCGTGCATAAAATGATTACGGAATGCATCGAACATCTAAATTTGATTTTCAACCAAAGAGAAAAATTTGCAACAACTTGGAACTGAACCATTTTTGCTTGAAAATATTCGAATGCAAAAAATTTTAAAAACTGTAGCGAAACGTAAAAATCAAGAATTCTCGCCGCCCACTTACATCTAAAAGATCGTCGGTAACCAGCAAATCTTCCAGCGGATACTGAGCGAGAAGCGAGTCGCAAATTTTTTCCGGACACCGCCTCAAATCCTCCATCGTCCTTTGCAATTCTTTCAGACCCGTCGATAAAACCCTGAGTTTCGTCTGAGCGTCTCTTTGCATCCTCTGCAGATTCTCCAACTCCGTGCCAATTTTCGGAATAACGTCCGCAATCTCTGCCAACTCATCCACAGCGTACGCTCCCGAAACGTTGACAATGTAGTCTCTCACAATCAACCCAGTGCCTAATTGAACACATGTAGGAGGGGCTCAATTCGAAAAAATCACAAAACCAATTTCTGAGAACCTTTTTAGGTGTTCAATGCTGAAAGTTGCTTTTCACGGGAGTTCATTAACAGACGTTTTCCAGTCATACACTCCGCTTCATCAGCAAATTTCAAAGACGGAATTGATTTTCACGGAAAAAATATTCAATGCAGAAATACTTTTTTTCCGGCAGTATTCCACTCATTAGCAGTCAACTAAATGAATCAAATTTTTTAAAAATTTGAAAATTAATTCCGGCACGCAATACTTATATTGAACAATCATGTTCTTGGGAATGCTCAAAGAAATGTTTGTGATCGCCATGCTAGATGTCAATATCAACTCAAGATGAAATTAGTGAGCACAATCTTGTCAATTGTAAAAAATTGTCAGCAAATAGTTAGCTTTACATACTGGTAATAGCCCCACAGCGGTTTAGAGGATTCCAAAGACTAACAATTTATCCGCCTTGTGAATATACTGTCGTTCAACTTTTGACATTGCTTCGATTGTAGAATTTATAGTCCTGTATATCTATACAAATGTGATTCAAATGCGTGGAGATAATGTAGCACTGAACAGAAACAGAATGAGGCTCATTGATGACGTCATATGAATAAAAGTCTCTTCCCTAAATTCAGAAACCCAGCGGAATTACCATATTTCAAGGTATTTTCAGAACTACAAAACCCAGGTCTTGCAGGAGGAACTGTTCCTTACAGGAAAACAATGTAAATATCTGCATTTAAAAAAAAATAAACAGAGACCGAAGAACTTACGATCGAGATCAGAAAAGAGTCTGTCTTGAACATCTTTGTAGTTGTCAATCATGAGAACTCGGGCTTCTCGAGCACTCCTGTTCATGTACGTGTTGATCCCGTCTACAAAATCTCGCATTTTCGGCGGCAGTTCGTCGCAGCCTTCCTTAACAAATTGGGCATTCACGAGAACGACCACAGCTCCAAACCTAGAAATGAAAAAGCCATGATCCAATTGCTGCATCTCGGTATCAGAAAAGCTAAAAAAATATTTATACTGTATACTGTACAGTATATACATTGAACAATTGAAGCACGGAACATCATCAAAAAGTTGTCGAATATTTATTCATAATCAAAACGCGCTGAAACTATTTTCTCGCCCTTTAATTTAATTCATGAAAAGACAAACTTTCTAAAGCAGTATTCCCCAACCCGTGGTCCGCGGACCGACGTCGGTCCGCAGAAGTTTTTTGCAGGTCCGTGGAACATTTCCTGCAGCATAGTAAATTTATCAGAAGTAGCAATGAAGTTTGTTCTCTTTCTTTGAAATTTTTGAAAGACAATCGCAATTTAATTTATCTGATTAAAAAAAAAAAAGTTGGCTTTTCTCCAAATAGCACTTGGGAAAAAATTTTATATGCTGAAATAATTAATTCCATTTTTTCATATTTTTTGAAGACATTACAGTATACAGCTGCTTCATCAGTTTTTAATTTTTGCAAAAAGGCAGAAAATTTTCAAACGTCTGTCATAAAGTCTTTCAAGCAAAACTCTTTTTTGATACTACAAGGCCTCGATAACTCGAAACCTCTCCAAGTCCAATACCTCCCTAAGTCGATTTTTTTTTCAGATTCCCTTTGAATCCCCTTGAAAACAATGCATAAAAAACCTCCTAAGTCAAAGGCTTTCTGTAAGTCGAATTTTCTTTGGCCTGTTGGCCATTATTTATTTGAAGAAAAAAAATAAAGAAAAAAGCATTAAAAACAGAAACTTATGCATTTTAAAGGAAGTGAAAGACTTAATTGGTAAAATAAACCCCTGCCTCCAAGTTCAGCAGCCTTCAACTCATTTAAGAAGCCATTTAAGCTTAAGAATATCTCCATTAATATTTTTTCCAAGTTTTCCAGAAAAAAGGGTTTTGTATTGCAGTTCCAACCTATAAAATTCCTGACCTCCCGAAGTCAAAATCTCTTTAAGTCGAATTTTTTTTCAGGTCCCTTGAAATTCGACTTCGAGAGGTTCGACTTGTACAAAAATTTCATGAAACTCAACTTTACCGGTCCACAAAACAATTTCTGGAAATATAGCGTTCCGCGGGCCCAAAAAGGTTGGGGGAACACTGGTCCAAAGCAAACCGGCTTAAACTACCCCAATTGCAACATTACCTGACAGCGATGGAATATGTCCCTCAAAATCTATTCCTACCCTGAAATCTAAACCACTCGCACCGCAAAAGTAATAATCGGTACTTCTACTACTTTCGACACTCAATGTTTTAAGCACGTTATTTCCCCGAGTCTTGCCAATGGGGAAAAGAATAAAATTTGCGCAACAGCGGAAATTCAGTCTCCGATCACAAGAAAATGTATGCAGCTTTCCGGTGAAAGCAGGAACTCATTTCCTTCCAACAACAATGGAAAGAATAATAATAATAATTATTATTTTTATTTAAAAAAAAGGGAGAAAAACTTACGCCAGGAAAACGATGACCACGAGAAGCAGCAGATTGAGAAAGCCGCGTTTGCACGCATCCCCCTTCTCCTCAAACTCCTCAATATCGTAGGCTCGTTTGCCGCATTTGCCGCAAGCTCGACACAGGAAGAAAACGAGACAGGAGAACGGAAGTAGAATGACCAAGGCCAAGCCTACGCCCAGGCAAATCAACGGGGCCCAGTAGAACCGAAGCAGCTCGGGATAGGTTTCCTTGATGTTCAATTCGTCCAACGCTTCGAGCCAATCGACACTCACTTTCTCCCCCTTCGCCTGGAAATTGAAATCAATATATTTTACATTCTGCACATTAAAAAAAATACAAAGAAAAGGCAGTCGAACCTCTTCAAGGGACCAGCAGAAAATTTAAAAAATCGAGTCAAGGGACGGGCTTTGATTTAGGATCACAAGCATTTTTCCTGAAAAAAAAAAAGAATTACACGAAATTGTAATTGCTTTTTTAAATGAGTCGACAGGATGCTAAACTCGGAGGCAAGGGTTCAATCGCCCAATTCGTCTTCCTTTCAAAACCCGTCAATTTAATTGTTTATTGCTTTTCCCTTTTTTGTTCTAATAAAATAATAGCCAAAAGGCCTCCAGAAATTTCGAGTTATTTAGAGAACTTCTCATTGCTTCGAGTCGAATGGAATTCAAACAGGGACTTTAAAAAAAATTCGACAAAGGGGGGCTTGCATTATCGAGGGTCAATCACAAAATGAGAAACTGGCAGACTCTCTCGTCTTGGAACCAGGAAGGAGAAGAAATGAGACTAACGTATTTTACTCTTTTTAAAAATAATTTTCCTAGAGGTCTTTTCGCTGAGCATTTCCCTTTACACCGTAAACAAACAAGTTTTACTCAACGACTTGATCTGTTCTTGCAATCTTTGAGGCATTAAAATGACTTCAAGGAATTTTCAATCAATTCTTTTATAGCTTCCATACTTCCAAGCATACACAGCTTTTCCAAGTACATGATGAGCAGTTGGCGGCAACAGGATTTTTTCGGAACAATTTGGAAAATAAATTATTCTCAATATAATGAACACTTGTATTTATGTGCTCGGCTGAACGAAGTCATGAGAATGCGCAGCATTGCCAATTCGGATTGAACGCAGCTCAATTATTTCGACACACTTGAACGGGAACTGCATAAAAAGGTAATTCCAGTTGGTAATGGAGTAGTGTGAAGCAGAACTCGAATAGAGCAATTGAACGTCCAGCAAATGATCGAGTTAAATATTGGGCCATCCTGTATTTTATGACCACAACCCTTCTTTTAAAGATAAGGTATCCTTTTCTTTAGTGGCAATAGTGTTCTTAATGCACACGTATCTTTTTTTTCATTTGAAGTATTATCAAGGCAATATTCACTTCAGTTCCGCTCGAAAACTCGGATAAGATTTATACATGGTCAGCCACGTACTGCAGCAATTGTTGGAGCAAGGTACAATAGTCGGTCGGCAGCCAACTGGAGTGGAACTGAACAAAGAAATGAGGATATTTCGACAAATCTTTCAAGTCTCAATGCCTCGTCGTTTAAAGGTAGTAAACAAGACTATTTCTGAAAATGTCCGAGGATTAGTCCAATGCATGTTCGTGAAGCCCTCTTAACTTTTTCCCGCCTCAATTTCAACTTCAGTGATTTCAACTGAAACCATTTGGCCCGAAAATGGATTTGAAAATTATGTTTGTCATCCAGTTTTGCGTCCAAGTGACAGTGTTATATTTCCTACCATGCTTTCACACGAGTTGCTCTCAAGGTGAACCCTACATTCTTGTTCAACAAAGGCGGGATTAACAGGCATTTTTATGACCATCGTTACATGGAAAATGTAGAGTTCTTCATGCATCAAAAGAACTAAAGGAGATCATTCTTTTAAAAAAAATTTTAAGCTTCAATGCAAGCTTACTTTATGAGCAGGCCCGCTCAAATAAATTTCAAACGTTTTCGAATTTTAATTATTTATTGATAACCGTTATGTTTCAAGGATCACCAAGTGGAGAAGAATTTTCAGAAAAAAGTTGCGAAACGCTCACATTTTGAATGTCGGCCCTGCCTGTCAAGAATAAGAAGGGTATGTTCAAAAATAGGAAATAAAACACGAGAATTTGGTTGGGCTACAACCGCGGTGACTTGACACCGTATTATAAAGTTGGTCTAAATCAAAAGTTATTAGTAGCACGATTTGAATACTGTACTTGCGAGTTCTTGACAGTAACAGATTGAAGTTAGAAGTGCCAAAAAAAGGAAGAGGAAAGGAGAAACCCAACTTTGAAGGATATGGAATATTCCAGCTAAGGTAGCCTTAGAATGATATTGAGTTTCCATTTCCAGCCATTTTCTAGTTTAGAAAATATGGGATTTTACGACCAGCGGTCGTTTGTAGCTTAACAAGCACTCATTCTCTCGTTGATCATAGCTATCCAAAACTTGGTAATTCTCAAGCGTGGACAAAAATTTTCCCGGTTTTCCACTTCAGATCAAAACCATAACTCAACACGGATTTTCCCGAAGAATTTCCGTCAGAATGAGCCGTGACTCGGTGAAAAGATGAACGTTTTCGGGAAAATTGTGGACAAATCTCGTCAAATGCGTCAGTCAACAAGGCAACGACACGGCTGTCAACTTTATGACAGTGGAACTTGAAGAACTACACCATACTTGAGTTCCTACGTCAACTTCCTGGTTCTTGTGCAACACTTTCAGTACTTACAGAAATAAACGCCTCGCGTCTTACGTCGAAAAGTTCTGATGCTCGAGATTTAAGGAATGGTGACCTAGTTTCCGCTTTTCTCGTTCTTTTTTATTTAGTTGAAGTAAAATTTGTGTTCCAACGAATGCAATGATAACAATAGAATGTCTTCGTCCCGACAAAAAAAAAATCGTATGCACTCACATTAAAACAAAATTCGATCCAACATATAAAAAGTATCACACAACAAACGAACGAAAATTTAGCGGAAGTCAGTAGTGTATGATAGGTATGCTGCATTCAGAAATACGCAGACATGGCTTTTCATTACGATACAAATCCAAACCCCATTCCGCCGATAATTACAGGAATACACTTCTGATTGCTGAAATAAATATTTTTAAAAATTATCTGCACTAGACTAAGACAAGGGATGGAAAATATTACAAAAGAAGCCGGCAAAAATGAAGTACAATCACCGAAAAAACTGATTTTACTCCAGAAACTGGTATTTCATTTAAAAAGGGCGTCTTTTTACGAATATGAAAGCTTCGTATTTCAAGAATAAACTCGAGTTATCTTCATTGAGAAGCAAGCTTGATTCAAAGCATTTTCCAGGAGCAGTAATTTTTTTTAAAGCTACTTACAATAGAATTTCACTTGCAAAACCGGTTTATGCAAAATTATAAAACGAAGTAGATATTCCTTGAATTGAATTTGCTTATGAATTTTCTTCAAGAAGAAAATGGAAGAGATTTTTGTTCATTTGTCTTCAATAATTATTCCGAATAATGTGGTGAGCTTCATCGATCCCGCACACTTTCAGTGCTCAAAAGTATTTTGAGTTTTCCGCTCGGTGCTTCCCAGAAAAGCGGCGAAGATAATGAGGACATTCCATGTTTAATTCATAAATCGGGCTAATTCTT